CAATGAGTTATGAGCACATTTGTGTTCATAAAGTAGAAATTAAATTGTACAGTGGCCCTAAAAGCCAAGTGAGCCTTTTTAATAATAACTAACACTCATTGTGTTATAACTCAGTTGTGAGGTTGTGTGTATAAATTTGATAAATCCCTTAATTATAACACTTACCCAACTCTAACTTAGCAAAGGCTCTGGGGTCTGTGCAACTGGAACCAGTGGCATCTGGAGCAAACAGATTAAACAGGATTAATCTTTGCAACAGATGAATCTCATATCTGTTTACACAGTTACAAATGTGCACCTTCTACAAATCAGATGCTTACAGTGCCTTCAGTGCAGTGCAAATGTACCACATTATACCATAACATGTGTGTGTAGTGAGTATTCAGTCCACCAGAGGCTGCCATTGACACAGTATGGGAGAATTCACAACAATAAGCAGGGCCTTATGTGAATATCGATGTAAATTGAGAATATACTTATCAATAATGAAAGTAACATTGGCTGCAGCTTCAGTGGTGCTGTTTTAAAATGCATTGTGTTGAGAGATTTAGGATCAGTATTTAACACAGAGTGAAATCAACAGCTCTCTGATTCAGCCTCATTGAGATTCATGTACTGATACATACAGTTCATCTTTTTGTGCCAGTCTTTTGTACAGAGGTGGGAAACTTAAGTTCTTCACGTATCTGTACTTTACATTAGGATTTATTTTTCGGACAACTCTTTACTTTTACTCCCTACATTTTTACACAGATATCTGTACTTTCTGCTGCAGAATGCATTTGTCATTATCACAAATGATGACGTAACACAACAAAACCAATAAATAAGACTCAACAAGACAAAACAGACAAGAGAGGGAGACTCCACCCTGTCTTTAGTTTCAGTTAACTTAGCACAGAAACAGCTGAACAGAAATGTCCTTCAAGGAAACCGAAAGAGTATTTTTACTTTTATACTTTGAGTACATTTCAGAGCCTCAACTTTGCACTTATACTTGAGCAAAGAATCAGTACTTCTACTATTAACAGAGTCTTTTTAAAGTATTTGTACTTAAGAATGTGAGTACTTTTGCCAGCTCTGCCTTTATTTAACAACTAGTGTGTCCATGTCTGCTAACATTTCCCTCTGCAGGATAATAAAGAAATAAACACAAAATCCATAATGACCTTGTCTGCACATCATGTTGGATCCGGGTTCTCCAGGTCGTCCGGGTTCTCCAGGTCGTCCGGGGTTCTCCAGGTTGTCCAGGTTCTCCAGGTCGTCCGGGTTGTCCGGGTTCTCCAGGTCTTCCTGCTATGCCAGGAAATCCCACGATGATCCCTGATCCCCTGAAGAGTGGGGTAATAGATGTTAAACAATTAAAGGTTGACAGCATGGAGCAGGTTGTGTCCTGGATGTTTCTCTGCCTTAACAAGACAACACAAGTTAGCCTGCCTCGTAACTTAATAAAGTGATGGAGTGGTGGCTGGGATTGTACCTTTTCAAGTGAAGGAAAGATTTGTAGTGTTTCCGTCTTGGTTGGAGCTGACCGACAACATGTTTTGCAGACCGTCTGAATCTGCACTTTGTCACCTCTGAGATATCAAAACCACTTTGGTAGAATGGACATTGTGTTACCTTTTTCCTTGTCTTTGGAGGATGACGCTTAAGTTCACCTTCAGAACTTTAGCACAAGGAGATCTTTGTGGGTTTGTGTTCTGCTTCTTCAACAGCTGTTTGCAGCTGTTTTCATCATACTGTGGCTCTTTTGTTGCACTTATAATATACAAAATAGACCCCCTTGCCATAGTGCAAACAGGAAGCGACACAGAGAGGCAAAAGATGCTTTCTTGTACCGCTGTTCTGCTTTTTTACCTTCTTTTCAGAGGGACATCAATGTTCACTTTCACTTTCTTCACTGTAGCTCAAACAATGCTTTTTATTAAGATCCTGTATCGAGATTGTTTTATCGCCCAGTCCTGGAAGAAACAATCTGGAAGGGTACATGGGAGAATCTAAGGGGAGGTTGGAGGCAGATTTTAGGATTGTAGCTACAAAGAAACTCCTCTCGTTCAACAGGGAGCTGCCAGAGTTCAGTCAAAAGACGGTTGAAGTTTGATCTGAAATGACATTGTTGGGAAAATAACTGTGGTGGATTAACACCCACCTTTTTGACCTGGGATTCCGGGCATTCCGCTTTCCCCAGCTGGTCCAGGTACCCCAGGGAAGCCAGGATAACCTCTGTCACCTTTGGGACCAGAAGGACCAGGAGGACCAGGAGGACCATGAAGCTGACTGTTGCCAATTGGAGCCATCAGGCAGAGGATGCAGGATAAAAGAAACAGCCTCATCTTCTCAGTGCAGAACTGAAATAGGAAATACATTAAAGAATTTTCCTTTATAGAGCTCCATCAGAAATATTTTCATCATCATTTACAACCATTAAATCAAAGTGTATAAAATAAGGTCAGACATGTTCTTTACTAACAGAGACTATGATCTTAATGTCTCCAATAGTTCCCACCTCGTTAAGAATGAATGATATTTTCCATGCACACATAGTTATGGATGTCAGATTTGCAGATATTCCAAACAACTGTTCAACATACAGAAGATTTAGTGGCTACATTTATTTGTTATACTTTTGATAAATTTCATAGCACTAAACAGACACTATACTGTTGTAAAGACATTCAAAAGGTCTTAATGACACTAAAACTAGTATTAAACAGTAATAAGGGGAGATGTACTCACTGTGTGAACTTGAAGTGGTTTGCTGGTTGTGCTGCTTCTTGAGTCCTTCCAAAGAAAAATCAGAGATGAGGCACGTACGAAGGAGTCCAAAACCCTCCCTCTTCTTTAACCAATAATAGCAGAGTGTAGTGACAACAACAGTCCTGTTTAAACTAAACCAAACAATCTGTTTCTATTTAAATCTTTATTTATCAGCCAAGATCGACACCCTCACACACACACACACACACACTCCCACATGCAGAAAGATACGTTGCTATCATATGACTGTGTGTAATTGTTATAGACTTGTGATGGCTATACCTGTGTGATCTTTGTTACCAAAAAACTACTTTTGGAGTGCACTGGTTTCTTTAGGCTGATTTAGCCTAGCTTGTAGCTGGTAGCTAGCTTTAGCAGTCCGGATTGTTCTGATGATGAAGGATGGTTGTGAGACTTGGTGGCATTTATGAACAGGAACTTTATTTAACTTTATCGTAAGACCTTAAGACCTTTACACAATGGGAGCGTTTTTTTGGACATGTAATGTTTGACAGATTGAATCACATTTTACAGAACAGACGGCAGTGTATACAGATATATATACTATAATATATATATATATATTATGTGTGTGTATATATACACACTAATATATTGTAATGATTAAAATAAAAGATTTATTTTAAAAATTAAACTACAAATTTTCACTTTAAACTTTTTGGGGATTTTTAAAATTTAAACTCAGAACTCACATACATTGTTCACATGTGGCCCTAATCCTCTTCTGTAGGGTACAATAACTCTCTATAACTGACAAATAATGTAAGCATTCAGGAAGCACTCGTGTGTCACTCGCCAGACGCCATTTTCTGACAGCATGGTGCAGCCTGTAGCCTCAATGGATTTGTCTGGCTGCCCTTCTCCCCATTTGGTGAAGGTCAGAGGTTGGTTATTCATATCTGCCTCAAAGTTCCCCTCTGCTTTTTTATTATTGACGTTGATCCAGGCTTCTTTGTTAACGTCCCCAAAGAACTGAGTCAGTGCAATGTTCTCCTCCTCGTTCTGGGGCAAAGCCAGATCTAAACCTTGTTGGGAGCAGAACTCGACGGCCCTGGAGAACGAGTCTCTCTCCTTGTAGGACACAAAGTATTTCTGACCAACTCTTCGGACAAAGTCATAGTTTATAGCTGCAAAAAGAAAACAGCAAGCAGCGAATCAGGAATAAATCAGCACATATACATATTTGTTTCCAATAAACTGTAAACTGTATCACCATCCTGGCATTGACATGCAGCATCAGACACTCTGACCTCCTCACCGAGGTGAAATACAGGCCTGTGTCTACTGAACCATACTGTAGCTACATTTTACCCACTTCAACTTCCAAATCTGATGTTTAATAAAGAAACAAAACTGAAATATTTATGATTCTTTACATGTTTTTTGATTGCCCATTTCAAATAAAGCAGTGTATAATGTAAATAAATAATCTCCTTCATCTAAATGAGATTAATGGAGTCCAGTACAGCAACATTTAACTGAAAATATTTAGCTAATCCTTTCTCAAACATCCTACGTACAAAGAAGAATAAGGTATACATATATTTCTCCATCCACATGTGCTCACTTCCTTTAATACTCCCTTTTAGTCTTTGAATAGGATACTTACCAAGCTCTAACTTTGCAAAGCTCTTCCTTAAGTGTTCAGTCTCCAGGATAGCAGAATCAAGGCGATCTGGATTAAGGAGAGTAAATTCAGTTACCAAAGTTGCAATAAACTGGATCTCACAGAAGAAAGGTTATTTTTTTCCTTTCCTTCACAGTAACATTCACCTTACAACATAATGCAAACCAGAGCTGAAATACTGAATATATTAATTCAACTCTGTGGTCATTGGAGATAGTTAGTGCTAAAGTGATAAGTTCATTAACTGAGTTCTTGTAAAGACTATGTCTTATGATACTTATGATTACTTATGACTAGTCCTCTCAGCTCCAGCCTCAACTGTTCATTTTAAATTATTTCAGAACAAAGTTGGGAGAAATGACTATAAAATGATGCACATGACATCTAGTATATTTCCATTTGAGTATTGGGTTTCAGTGTATCACTAAACATTATATGTCTTTGGAGAAGAGCTAGATCAAGCAGATGCACAATATATCTGATACTGTCACACAGTGAGGTATAATAATTAAATTCTTAAAGGGTTGAATCACTGTCAGGTTTATAAGGCTTAAAATGTGACACAGACCTGAATCGAAACATGTGTCTCAACAAACTTGAAAAGCATTTTCTGTGTCCAACACTGTATGTCAGTCCTGTTCAACAACAACTAGTGTAAAACTTCCTCGCTCAGGAAGGAACAACTTCCCACAATAACGACAGAAAACTATTGTCTGCATGCTGAATTGTAATAAATTACATAGCAAGTACTCAATAGATGAAAGAATTCTATAAGGTAGAAAAATTCTCTGAAAGATAATCACCTTGTCCACACATTTCTACTGGTCCAGGTGGTCCACGTGGTCCAGGAGGTCCAGCTGGTCCAGCACCTCCTCTGTCCCCTTAAGAGCAGGAAAAAACAAATTAAACAAGCCTAAAAATCCAAACCCTCACCAAAAATAGAAAAAGAAAATTTTTGATGGATGTAACTTACAGAGATGACTTTGTTAATCTCATTACAGTTTTTCTCCATTGGTTTGGCTCATTTCTTGAAACAGAAATGACATTCTCAAAACTCTAAGATCATTTGGCAAAACAGTCTTACAGTTCAGCACAACACCATAGTTCACTTGCAAAAGCTCATATCTCTCCCAAAACAGTTCACTAAATTTCTTTCTCATATAAATAGTCAGTACCTCCAAAATGCATCGTCCCTTTGGCATTGTGTGAGCACTGCAAGTCAAAATGTTTAGATGTTTTGTCACTATGGCAGAGGACCTTATCCCTCATGTCCACCTCTCAGTCTTAGCCCAGTCTTTCATTCACAATGGTTACTGTACTAGTTTTTTTGTCTGGCTAACAGAATACCATTGTGTATAAAACTGAAAAAATAAAAAATAAAAAAACAAGATTTTAGGGGAAGAGTAGCCTCAAAGGTTTGACATCACATATTGCACACACACTGCCAAGGAAAGGTAGCCATTTTTATTCACACACATAAAGTAACCTCCATATCAGAGTAAAAGAAAATGTAGAAAGCATAATATACTGTTATATAAACACGTAAACAAAAACAAGGACGATTATATGTAGTCTACAGTGCTGTAAATGAATACAGTAGTCTATATGGTATTCATGGTATTATGTTGACTCATTCTGACCATTGAACAGACTATTGTGCATGTGATGACTTATAAAATGAAATGATGCTGACATGTTTTGGAGAGAACAACCATTAGACTGAGAATCAATCAATCAGTTTAGATCAACAGGATCTAATCACTTGGAAATTGTGCTAAATGTAGGCTAACTGTGCTAACTTTAGGCTAACTGTACTTAATCATTTGCAAAGATGGACTAAGACTTTGCAATGTGATGAAATCAATGAGAAATACAATTCTGTTGTGAACATTTGCCAAGTGGTTTGGAGGTTTGTCCATGTTGTTTTGAGAATGTAATTTCTGTTTCAAGAAATGAGCCAAACCAATGGAGAAAAACTGTAATTTAATAATGTCAAATTTAAAAGTTCAGCCTGAGGATGGGAATGGAAGAAGTCTTGTTGTTACAAGTCAAAGGGGTTCTTTAATGTCAGCCCTCAGAACTTTTTGGCCTGGAGGTGACAGTAGAGGACAAGTAAGACAATGACCAAAACACATTGGAAATTTTATTTTGTCTATCATATGTCTATCGTAACTTGCTCGCCAGTATACAGGAGGCACACCGCTGACACTAAAAGTCCCAGAATTCACTGCAATGTAGCTAGCATGCTAAGACCTTCAAGCCCAGGTGCACCTTCCTACTACTCTATTGCACTCATCAGAGGTCAGAAGTCATCTACACTCGTCACTTTGAATTAAATTTAAATAAAACAGGGGCTTTTAAGACAGGTCAGAGGAAGAATATCTGTTTACTAGCATTAGCATAAGACACTTTGAGACAAAGTCCCAAGTCTCAACAAGTACAAGCACGTGGACAGATAGACATCAGAAGGTAGAGGAGTTGAAAAAAGATGGAAAAAGACATATTTGAGGAAGTATCTAAATGTGTGAATGAAGTGAAACTGCCCTGGGACAAACTGACGGGACTGGCATCAGATGGAGCGCCTGCAATGTGCGGTGAAAAGAACAGATTAGTGGGGAGGATGCAGGAGAAATGTGCAGGTGAGCTGACAGTGCATCACTACATCATCACTGATGAAAGAGCACCTGTGAACATCCAAATGGAGCTGATAGACCTCCAGTGTAATGACTCAAGACTCAAGGCAAAATATGACTCTGTGGATGCTTCACAGTTTCCAAGTTTCATCCCTGAAACGATGCCTCAACTCCGCCTTCATACTGCTCAAATGCTCTCCATGTTTGGAATGGTAAATGGTAAATGGACCTGTACTTGTGCCTTTCTAGTCTTCTGACCACTCAAAACGCCTTTTACACTACATACCACATTCACCCTTTCACACACATTCACTCAGTGATGCACAGCATCAGGAGCAATTTGTGGTTCAGTATCTTTCTCAAGAATAACTCATGGAGCCCAATGGGCACAGGTGGTGCAGGTAACCTAGGCAACCCATGATCACATTCGTCACCTTTGGAACCATCACGGCCAGGAGGACCAAGAGGACCAGGAGGACCACGAATACCAGGAGGACCAAAATAACCAGTACGACCAGGAAAACCAGGAGGACCAGCAGGACCAGGAGGACCAGGAGGACCAGGAGGACCAGGAGGACCATGAAGCTGACTGTAGCCAATAGGAGCCATCAGGCAGAGGACGCAGGATAAGAGAAACAGCCTCATCTTCTCAGTGCAGAACTGAAATAGGAAATATAATAAAGAATTTTCCTTTATAGAGCTGTATCAGAAATATTTTGATCATCATTTACAAACATTAATTCAAAGTGAATGAATTCAATATTTAGTTCCTGGTTCTCTCTACTGCTGTATATATTTCTGTCCTGTGCTATTATTTCGTTGCACACCATGCCTCTGTAGTGGTGTGATGTGTTGCGCCATATTATGAACAAGTCAGTGAAGCACAGACTTTTATTTTAAAGGGTAATCTTTTGAGGATTGTTACTATAGTATGAGGAAATTGTGTAATTGTAAATGTTCATGCTAATGTTTTGAGACATATGTCAGGGAAAAATGTTGGATTATTACCGGAAGTATAGCAAGTATTTTATTTTCTAAACCTGCACTTACCGCGTTGTGACGGGTTTTATGGTGCTTTCCATTTGTCTCGTAAATCCCCCGCCCGAGTTGGAACGTGTAAATCTCGCAGCTATCTCGGGACATTTCACCGAGACACCCCCCCTTTTGGTCGTAATATCAACCGTCCCACTCGGGGCTCCTCAGAGTACAACGAGCTGAACGAGCAGGAACGTACAACTCGCAAAACAAAGATGGCTGCACCCGTATTGAGATGTATTTTCTTTGTATTTGTGCTACTTTGGTCGTTTTAATGACGATTTTAAATGCTCTTACACTATTTACATTGCTGCTTTAGTCCGATCACCAATTTATGCATTACACGGTGTTGCTGTGCGTGCAATACAATGTAAAGATTTGTTTTCGAGCTGGTTTGCTAAATAGGCTAATGTTGCTAACAGTAAGACTAACCTGCCCCTGCCCCTGGAGGCCCATGGTGGCCCCTGGAGGCCCATGGAGGCCCCTGGAGGCCCCTGGTGGCCCCTGGAGGCCCCTGGAGGCTCCTGAAGGCCCCTGGTGGTAGTGGTCACGTCCATGTTCTTTCCAACTCGTCGTGTAGCAAATGCCCAAAGACAAACTGGAACACTATAAGTGGTACAAGCCAGGCAATCACGTCCCGTTCGCACGTCAGAGCAACTCGGACGGGGGATTTAGGAGACCAATGGATCGCACCATTACTTCCTCTTTGCTCGGTGACTTTTCCCAGAAAGGTACGCAGTTCTGCTGCTCTCCGTATTTTCATTGTTTTTTGTTGTAAAAGTGAACGTAAGTTACTTTAAAATATTTGTAAAGCTGGTGTAGTCACAGTGTTAACTTGTAGAACTGTTAGTTTTTTTATGCATAAACTTGCTAATTAGAGTAGAAGTTGCTGTGGCCTGTGTGTGCTGCAGGGCTGCTACGTAGCTTGTCGTGCTAGAGTGTATGGGGTCAACCCTATGTTCCCCGGGTCCTATGTTCCCCGCTAAGGTTAGGGTTAGGGTTAGGGTTCCCCGGTCCCATACAAAGCGGGGAACATAGGACCCGGGGAACATAGGTACGCTCCCGAGTGTACTGATGAGACTGGTTGTTAATAGGAGACATGTAGTGACTTTCCTCATGGTGTTACAGAGCACAGGGAGCATGTATGAGAAAACCTGTGAACACCTGTGCATGTTTCTTCTCCATAATGCAGGTATACAATGGAATAAATCGTGTTGAGACCATTCATGAGTGTGTCTTTGCCTATTAAACAACACAATGCAGAATTAGACCCACTACACCTCTACTGCCTGCTGTGACCTGTGCAATGTACATCTGTATATGAAAAGCTGTATATAGTGTCCATGTATTTGTCTTTTTTATTATTATCTTTTATTTTTTCTATTCTATTTTTAATGAATGTCTTTTTTTAATCTATCGTGTTGTGTTGTATCTGAGCTGCTGTAGCGAGTGAATTTCCCCAATGAGAGATCAATAAAGTCCATCTTATCTTAGCTCGTTGTAAATTAATTACACTTTACATGCACATATTTATGGATGTGGGACTTATTCCAAACCACAATTATACATACAATGTGGCTCAATTTATTCTCCAAAAGTTATACTTATTTACTTCTAATGCATTTCATAGCACTAAACAGACATTATGCTGTTATACAGTTATTCAAAGGGTCTTAATAACACTAAGCCTAGTATAAAATAGTGATAAGCAGAGAAGTACTCACTGTGTGAACTTGGAGTGGTTTGCTGGTGGTGCTGCTTCTTGAGTCCTTCCAAAGAGAAATGACTGAGAGACGAGGGAGAACTCTTGTATGAAGGATTCGGTCCACAGTAAACAACAGATGCAAAATGATAACAACTATCTTGTGAGTGTTTAAATAAACATTCTCCGATCTGTTTTTATTTTAAATATTTATTCATTCAAGAGTTTGCCAAATATGTTCTTTTAGTATTTTCAATTGACACCGATAAGCCCTCAACACTGAGAGCACTGCCAGTGAATAACACTGAATACAAGCAAGAAAAATGGGCAGCGTGAAGATCTGAGCCACTTGGACAAGGGCCACATTGTGATGGACGACTGGGTCAGAGCATCTGCAGCTCTTGTGGGGTGTTCCCAGTCTGCAGAGGTCAGTACCTATCAAAAGTGGTCCAAGGAAGAGAAAGAACCGGAGACAGGGTCATGGCTCATTGATGCAGGTGGGGAGTGAAGGCTGGCCCATTCTGCCGATCCAACAGACGAGCCACTGTGGCTCAAACTGCTGAAACAGTTAATGCTGGTTCTGATAGAAAGGGGTCAGAACACGCAGTGCAGAGCAGTCTGTTGGTCTGAGACAGACGTAGTGGAGTAAAATGTACAATGTTTCCTCTTAGTGGTGGAAAAGTAAAACAAACTAGGCAAACAAAAATCCTCTGGCAAAGTATGATTGTAATTTATTGTCCAGCGGTCAGTTTAGTGTCTGTCAGTTTTGGCTGATGCCCAGGATGATGCAACAGGACTCTGACTGCAGTTCACTAACAACGGTTTAATGAAACTTACATAGAGAACCTTTAAACTAGAGTGAAAGAATGAATTCAGACTCATTCTATGCAGTTTGCTTTATTTTCATGCTTTCAAAACACCACTTTTGAAATGTTAATCAGTCCCTCCAGGAAGTTGCAATCGTAACAATTAACACAAATTCAACCAATCCCTGTGAATCCTGAGCGACCATATTATTTTGTCCAATCACCACAACTTTTTCCAGAAGTTGACCAATCATTGGAGTTTCCTTCGTGTTTCACCAATCATTGCTAAGCAATATGTCACCAAACTAGTAGAGATTTTATTCTCACTGGAACATGTTGCCATCGATTTTTAATGAATGATGCATTTCATTGCAAAAAATAGAAAATATGAAAATGAAAATATAGAAACATTACATTGCATACATCGTCATGTATTTAATTTTGATAATTTTTTGGCAGCAAATCAGGAAAAAATTTAAATTGTACAGTGGCCCTGAAAGCCAAGTGAGCATTTTAATAATAACTAACACTGACTGTGTTATAACTCAGTTGTTAGGTTGTGTGTATAAATTTAAAAAAAAATGATCAAGGCATCATCTCTTGAACAGATGCCATCCATATACACTTACTTCCTGTATCATTCCCTTAATTATGACACTTACCAAACTCTAACTTAGCAAAGGCTCTGGGGTCAGTGCAACTGGAACCAGTGGCATCTGGAGCAAACAGATAAAACTGATATATACACACTAATATATTGAGAGCGGTAGATACAGGTCAGAGGTCTGTACTGTAGATAAGCTGGATAAGTCTCAGTTTGACACTAATTGTCTTTCCATTTAAAAATTCCAAAGTTACAGAGGTCGGCACTATAGATACAGGGCATAGGTCAGTGCTGTAAATAAGGTGGATAATGTATAATGAATATTATATTCAATTTCTGCCAATACATCATCCTAGTTGTCAGACACTGGACCTTCAAAGTCAGAACTCTACAATTAAATTAAGAATTTTCACTTTTGGGGATTGAAAAAAAAATTAAACTCAAAATTCACATACATTGTTCACGTGACCCTAATCCTCTTCCGTAGGATACAAGAACTCTCTATAGCTGACAAATGATGCAGTTCATTGCAAAAAAATGCCTGAAAATATAGCAACATTACATTGCATTTCTCTAGAAATTGAATTCTGATCTGGTTAAATGTTTTCATAGAGGAGTATGTCAAAGCAAGAGTAATAATGACATGATACAGATGAAATTCATGTTTTTTAAGAGATTAAGATGTATCACAAGGATAGTGGAGGGTAACAGACTAATACATTTAAGAGCAAATATACCTTAGAGCAATGGTTAGCCTCGCTATCTCCATGAAAATGAGGATAAGGTTAATATTTTTCAATTCACTGATTCAACAAATTATGATTCACTCTTTTTCACTCAGCTACGTCAATACCAAACTGAAACACTTCTTCTAAGATCAGGTATTGCAGGTGATACAAGAACTCTCTATAACTGACAAATAATGTAAGCATTCAGGAAGCACTCGTGTGTCACTCGCCAGACGCCATTTTCTGACAGCATGGTGCAGCCTGTAGCCTCAATGGATTTGTCTGGCTGCCCTTCTCCCCATTTGGTGAAGGTCAGAGGTCGGTTATTCATATCTGCCTCAAAGTTCCCCTCCGCTTTTTTATTATTGACGTTGATCCAGGCTTCTTTGTAAACGTCCCCAAAGAACTGAGTCAGTGCAATGTTCTCCTTCTCGTTCTGGGGCAAAGCCAGATCTAAACCTTGTTGGGAGCAGAACTCGACGGCCCTGGAGAATGAGTCTCTCTCCTTGTAGGACACAAAGTATTTCTGACCAACTCTTCGGACAAAGTCGTAGTTTATAGCTGCAAAAAGAAAACAGCAAGCAGCGAATCAGGAATCAATGAGTTATGAGCACATTTGTGTTCATAAAGTAGAAATTAAATTGTACAGTGGCCCTAAAAGCCAAGTGAGCCTTTTAATAATAACTAACACTCATTGTGTTATAACTCAGTTGTGAGGTTGTGTGTATAAATTTGATAAATCCCTTAATTATAACACTTACCCAACTCTAACTTAGCAAAGGCTCTGGGGTCTGTGCAACTGGAACCAGTGGCATCTGGAGCAAACAGATTAAACAGATTAATCTTTGCAACAGATGAATCTCATATCTGTTTACACAGTTACAAATGTGCACCTTCTACAAATCAGATGCTTACAGTGCCTTCAGTGCAGTGCAAATGTACCACATTATACCATAACATGTGTGTGTAGTGAGTATTCAGTCCACCAGAGGCTGCCATTGACACAGTATGGGAGAATTCACAACAATAAGCAGGGCCTTATGTGAATATCGATGTAAATTGAGAATATACTTATCAATAATGAAAGTAACATTGGCTGCAGCTTCAGTGGTGCTGTTTTAAAATGCATTGTGTTGAGAGATTTAGGATCAGTATTTAACACAGAGTGAAATCAACAGCTCTCTGATTCAGCCTCATTGAGATTCATGTACTGATACATACAGTTCATCTTTTTGTGCCAGTCTTTTGTACAGAGGTGGGAAACTTAAGTTCTTCACGTATCTGTACTTTACATTAGGATTTATTTTTCGGACAACTCTTTACTTTTACTCCCTACATTTTTACACAGATATCTGTACTTTCTGCTGCAGAATGCATTTGTCATTATCACAAATGATGACGTAACACAACAAAACCAATAAATAAGACTCAACAAGACAAAACAGACAAGAGAGGGAGACTCCACCCTGTCTTTAGTTTCAGTTAACTTAGCACAGAAACAGCTGAACAGAAATGTCCTTCAAGGAAACCGAAAGAGTATTTTTTACTTTTATACTTTGAGTACATTTCAGAGCCTCAACTTTTGCACTTATACTTGAGCAAAGAATCAGTACTTCTACTATTAACAGAGTCTTTTTAAAGTATTTGTACTTAAGAATGTGAGTACTTTTGCCAGCTCTGCCTTTATTTAACAACTAGTGTGTCCATGTCTGCTAACATTTCCCTCTGCAGGATAATAAAGAAATAAACACAAAATCCATAATGACCTTGTCTGCACATCATGTTGGATCCGGGTTCTCCAGGTCGTCCGGGTTCTCCAGGTCGTCCGGGTTCTCCAGGTTGTCCAGGTTCTCCAGGTCGTCCGGGTTGTCCGGGTTCTCCAGGTCTTCCTGCTATGCCAGGAAATCCTGATGATCCCTGATCCCCTGAAGAGTGGGGTAATAGATGTTAAACAATTAAAGGTTGACAGCATGGAGCAGGTTGTGTCCTGGATGTTTCTCTGCCTTAACAAGACAACACAAGTTAGCCTGCCTCGTAACTTAATAAAGTGATGGAGTGGTGGCTGGGATTGTACCTTTTCAAGTGAAGGAAAAGATTTGTAGTGTTTCCCGTCTTGGTTGGAGCTGACCGACAACATGTTTTGCAGACCGTCTGAATCTGCACTTTGTCACCTCTGAGATATCAAAACCACTTTGGTAGAATGGACATTGTGTTACCTTTTTCCTTGTCTTTGGAGGATGACGCAAGTTCACCTTCAGAACTTTAGCACAAGGAGATCTTTGTGGGTTTGTGTTCTGCTTCTTCAACAGCTGTTTGCAGCTGTTTTCATCATACTGTGGCTCTTTTGTTGCACTTATAATATACAAAATAGACCCCTTGCCATAGTGCAAACAGGAAGCGACACAGAGAGGCAAAAGATGCTTTCTTGTACCGCTGTTCTGCTTTTTTTACCTTCTTTTCAGAGGACATCAATGTTCACTTTCACTTTCTTCACTGTAGCTCAAACAATGCTTTTTATTAAGATCCTGTATCGAGATTGTTTTATCGCCCAGTCCTGGAAGAAACAATCTGGAAGGGTACATGGGAGAATCTAAGGGAGGTTGGAGGCAGATTTTAGGATTGTAGCTACAAAGAAACTCCTCTCGTTCAACAGGGAGCTGCCAGAGTTCAGTCAAAAGACGGTTGAAGTTTGATCTGAAATGACATTGTTGGGAAAATAACTGTGGTGGATTAACACCCACCTTTTTGACCTGGGATTCCGGGCATTCCGCTTTCCCCAGCTGGTCCAGGTACCCCAGGGAAGCCAGGATAACCTCTGTCACCTTTGGGACCAGAAGGACCAGGAGGACCAGGAGGACCATGAAGCTGACTGTTGCCAATTGGAGCCATCAGGCAGAGGATGCAGGATAAAAGAAACAGCCTCATCTTCTCAGTGCAGAACTGAAATAGGAAATACATTAAAGAATTTTCCTTTATAGAGCTCCATCAGAAATATTTTCATCATCATTTACAACCATTAAATCAAAGTGTATAAAATAAGGTCAGACATGTTCTTTACTAACAGAGACTATGATCTTAATGTCTCCAATAGTTCCCACCTCGTTAAGAATGAATGATATTTTCCATGCACACATAGTTATGGATGTCAGATTTGCAGATATTCCAAACAACTGTTCAACATACAGAAGATTTAGTGGCTACATTTATTTGTTATACTTTTGATAAATTTCATAGCACTAAACAGACACTATACTGTTGTAAAGACATTCAAAAGGTCTTAATGACACTAAAACTAGTATTAAACAGTAATAAGGGGAGATGTACTCACTGTGTGAACTTGAAGTGGTTTGCTGGTTGTGCTGCTTCTTGAGTCCTTCCAAAGAAAAATCAGAGATGAGGCACGTACGAAGGAGTCCAAAACCCTCCCTCTTCTTTAACCAATAATAGCAGAGTGTAGTGACAACAACAGTCCTGTTTAAACTAAACCAAACAATCTGTTTCTATTTAAATCTTTATTTATCAGCCAAGATCGACACCCTCACACACACACACACACACTCCCACATGCAGAAAGATACGTTGCTATCATATGACTGTGTGTAATTGTTATAGACTTGTGATGGCTATACCTGTGTGATCTTTGTTACCAAAAAACTACTTTTGGAGTGCACTGGTTTCTTTAGGCTGATTTAGCCTAGCTTGTAGCTGGTAGCTAGCTTTAGCAGTCCGGATTGTTCTGATGATGAAGGATTGTTGTGAGACTTGGTGGCATTTATGAACAGGAACTTTATTTAACTTTATCGTAAGACCTTAAGACCTTTACACAATGGGAGCGTTTTTGGACATGTAATGTTTGACAGATTGAATCACATTTTACAGAACAGACGGCAGTGTATACAGATATATATACTATAATATATATATATATATTATGTGTGTGTATATATACACACTAATATATTGTAATGATTAAAATAAAAGATTTATTTTAAAAATTAAACTACAAATTTTCACTTTAAACTTTTTGGGGATTTTTAAAATTTAAACTCAGAACTCACATACATTGTTCACATGTGGCCCTAATCCTCTTCTGTAGGGTACAAGAACTCTCTATAACTGACAAATAATGTAAGCATTCAGGAAGCACTCGTGTGTCACTCGCCAGACGCCATTTTCTGACAGCATGGTGCAGCCTGTAGCCTCAATGGATTTGTCTGGCTGCCCTTCTCCCCATTTGGTGAAGGTCAGAGGTTGGTTATTCATATCTGCCTCAAAGTTCCCCTCTGCTTTTTTATTATTGACGTTGATCCAGGCTTCTTTGTAAACGTCCCCAAAGAACTGAGTCAGTGCAATGTTCTCCTCCTCGTTCTGGGGCAAAGCCAGATCTAAACCTTGTTGGGAGCAGAACTCGACGGCCCTGGAGAACGAGTCTCTCTCCTTGTAGGACACAAAGTATTTCTGACCAACTCTTCGGACAAAGTCATAGTTTATAGCTGCAAAAGAAAACAGCAAGCAGCGAATCAGGAATAAATCAGCACATATACATATTTGTTTCCAATAAACTGTAAACTGTATCACCATCCTGGCATTGACATGCAGCATCAGACACTCTGACCTCCTCACCGAGGTGAAATACAGGCCTGTGTCTACTGAACCATACTGTAGCTACATTTTACCCACTTCAACTTCCAAATCTGATGTTTAATAAAGAAACAAAACTGAAATATTTATGATTCTTTACATGTTTTTTGATTGCCCATTTCAAATAAAGCAGTGTATAATGTAAATAAATAATCTCCTTCATCTAAATGAGATTAATGGAGTCCAGTACAGCAACATTTAACTGAAAATATTTAGCTAATCCTTTCTCAAACATCCTACGTACAAAGAAGAATAAGGTATACATATATTTCTCCATCCACATGTGCTCACTTCCTTTAATACTCCCTTTTAGTCTTTGAATAGGATACTTACCAAGCTCTAACTTTGCAAAGCTCTTCCTTAAGTGTTCAGTCTCCAGGATAGCAGAATCAAGGCGATCTGGATTAAGGAGAGTAAATTCAGTTACCAAAGTTGCAATAAACTGGATCTCACAGAAGAAAGGTTATTTTTTTCCTTTCCTTCACAGTAACATTCACCTTACAACATAATGCAAACCAGAGCTGAAATACTGAATATATTAATTCAACTCTGTGGTCATTGGAGATAGTTAGTGCTAAAGTGATAAGTTCATTAACTGAGTTCTTGTAAAGACTATGTCTTATGATACTTATGATTACTTATGACTAGTCCTCTCAGCTCCAGCCTCAACTGTTCATTTTAAATTATTTCAGAACAAAGTTGGGAGAAATGACTATAAAATGATGCACATGACATCTAGTATATTTCCATTTGAGTATTGGGTTTCAGTGTATCACTAAACATTATATGTCTTTGGAGAAGAGCTAGATCAAGCAGATGCACAATATATCTGATACTGTCACACAGTGAGGTATAATAATTAAATTCTTAAAGGGTTGAATCACTGTCAGGTTTATAAGGCTTAAAATGTGACACAGACCTGAATCGAAACATGTGTCTCAACAAACTTGAAAAGCATTTTCTGTGTCCAACACTGTATGTCAGTCCTGTTCAACAACAACTAGTGTAAAACTTCCTCGCTCAGGAAGGAACAACTTCCCACAATAACGACAGAAAACTATTGTCTGCATGCTGAATTGTAATAAATTACATAGCAAGTACTCAATAGATGAAAGAATTCTATAAGGTAGAAAAATTCTCTGAAAGATAATCACCTTGTCCACACATTTCTACTGGTCCAGGTGGTCCACGTGGTCCAGGAGGTCCAGCTGGTCCAGCACCTCCTCTGTCCCCTTAAGAGCAGGAAAAAACAAATTAAACAAGCCTAAAAATCCAAACCCTCACCAAAAATAGAAAAAGAAAATTTTTGATGGATGTAACTTACAGAGATGACTTTGTTAATCTCATTACAGTTTTTCTCCATTGGTTTGGCTCATTTCTTGAAACAGAAATGACATTCTCAAAACTCTAAGATCATTTGGCAAAACAGTCTTACAGTTCAGCACAACACCATAGTTCACTTGCAAAAGCTCATATCTCTCCCAAAACAGTTCACTAAATTTCTTTCTCATATAAATAGTCAGTACCTCCAAAATGCATCGTCCCTTTGGCATTGTGTGAGCACTGCAAGTCAAAATGTTTAGATGTTTTGTCACTATGGCAGAGGACCTTATCCCTCATGTCCACCTCTCAGTCTTAGCCCAGTCTTTCATTCACAATGGTTACTGTACTAGTTTTTTTGTCTGGCTAACAGAATACCATTGTGTATAAAACTGAAAAAATAAAAAATAAAAAAACAAGATTTTAGGGGAAGAGTAGCCTCAAAGGTTTGACATCACATATTGCACACACACTGCCAAGGAAAGGTAGCCATTTTTATTCACACACATAAAGTAACCTCCATATCAGAGTAAAAAGAAAATGTAGAAAGCATAATATACTGTTATATAAACACGTAAACAAAAACAAGGACGATTATATGTAGTCTACAGTGCTGTAAATGAATACAGTAGTCTATATGGTATTCATGGTATTATGTTGACTCATTCTGACCATTGAACAGACTATTGTGCATGTGATGACTTATAAAATGAAATGATGCTGACATGTTTTGGAGAGAACAACCATTAGACTGAGAATCAATCAATCAGTTTAGATCAACAGGATCTAATCACTTGGAAATTGTGCTAAATGTAGGCTAACTGTGCTAACTTTAGGCTAACTGTACTTAATCATTTGCAAAGATGTACTAAGACTTTGCAATGTGATGAAATCAATGAGAAATACAATTCTGTTGTGAACATTTGCCAAGTGGTTTGGAGGTTTGTCCATGTTGTTTTGAGAATGTAATTTCTGTTTCAAGAAATGAGCCAAACCAATGGAGAAAAACTGTAATTTAATAATGTCAAATTTAAAAGTTCAGCCTGAGGATGGGAATGGAAGAAGTCTTGTTGTTACAAGTCAAAGGGGTTCTTTAATGTCAGCCCTCAGAACTTTTTGGCCTGGAGGTGACAGTAGAGGACAAGTAAGACAATGACCAAAACACATTGGAAATTTTATTTTGTCTATCATATGTCTATCGTAACTTGCTCGCCAGTATACAGGAGGCACACCGCTGACACTAAAAGTCCCAGAATTCACTGCAATGTAGCTAGCATGCTAAGACCTTCAAGCCCAGGTGCACCTTCCTACTACTCTATTGCACTCATCAGAGGTCAGAAGTCATCTACACTCGTCACTTTGAATTAAATTTAAATAAAACAGGGGCTTTTAAGACAGGTCAGAGGAAGAATATCTGTTTACTAGCATTAGCATAAGACACTTTGAGACAAAGTCCCAAGTCTCAACAAGTACAAGCACGTGGACAGATAGACATCAGAAGGTAGAGGAGTTGAAAAAAGATGGAAAAAGACATATTTGAGGAAGTATCTAAATGTGTGAATGAAGTGAAACTGCCCTGGGACAAACTGACGGGACTGGCATCAGATGGAGCGCCTGCAATGTGCGGTGAAAAGAACAGATTAGTGGGGAGGATGCAGGAGAAATGTGCAGGTGAGCTGACAGTGCATCACTACATCATCACTGATGAAAGAGCACCTGTGAACATCCAAATGGAGCTGATAGACCTCCAGTGTAATGACTCAAGACTCAAGGCAAAATATGACTCTGTGGATGCTTCACAGTTTCCAAGTTTCATCCCTGAAACGATGCCTCAACTCCGCCTTCATACTGCTCAAATGCTCTCCATGTTTGGAATGGTAAATGGTAAATGGACCTGTACTTGTGCCTTTCTAGTCTTCTGACCACTCAAAACGCTTTTTACACTACATACCACATTCACCCTTTCACACACATTCACTCAGTGATGCACAGCATCAGGAGCAATTTGTGGATCAGTATCTTTCTCAAGAATAACTCATGGAGCCCAATGGGCACAGGTGGTGCAGGTAACCTAGGCAACCCATGATCACATTCGTCACCTTTGGAACCATCACGGCCAGGAGGACCAAGAGGACCAGTACGACCAGGAAAACCAGGAGGACCAGCAGGACCAGGAGGACCAGGAAAACCAGGAGGACCAGGAGGACCAGGAGGACCAGGAGGACCATGAAGCTGACTGTAGCCAATAGGAGCCATCAGGCAGAGGACGCAGGATAAGAGAAACAGCCTCATCTTCTCAGTGCAGAACTGAAATAGGAAATATAATAAAGAATTTTCCTTTATAGAGCTGTATCAGAAATATTTTGATCATCATTTACAAACATTAATTCAAAGTGAATAAAATGAAATCAATATTTAGTTCCTGGTTCTCTCTACTGCTGTATATATTTCTGTCCTGTGCTATTATTTCGTTGCACACCATGCCTCTGTAGTGGTGTGATGTGTTGCGCCATATTATGAACAAGTCAGTGAAGCACAGACTTTTATTTTAAAGGGTAATCTTTTGAGGATTGTTACTATAGTATGAGGAAATTGTGTAATTGTAAATGTTCATGCTAATGTTTTGAGACATATGTCAGGGAAAAATGTTGGATTATTACCGGAAGTATAGCAAGTATTTTATTTTCTAAACCTGCACTTACCGCGTTGTGACGGGTTTTATGGTGCTTTCCATTTGTCTCGTAAATCCCCCGCCCGAGTTGGAACGTGTAAATCTCGCAGCTATCTCGGGACATTTCACCGAGACACCCCCCCTTTTGGTCGTAATATCAACCGTCCCACTCGGGGCTCCTCAGAGTTCACCGAGCTGAACGAGCAGGAACGTACAACTCGCAAAACAAAGATGGCTGCACCCGTATTGAGATGTATTTTCTTTGTATTTGTGCTACTTTGGTCGTTTTAATGTCGATTTTAAATGCTCTTACACACTGTTTACATTGCTGCTTTAGTCCAATCACCAATTTATGCATTACACGGTGTTGCTGTGCGTGCAATACAATGTAAAGATTTGTTTTCGAGCTGGTTTGCTAAATAGGCTAATGTTGCTAACAGTAAGACTAACCTGCCCCTGCCCCTGGAGGCCCATGGTGGCCCCTGGAGGCCCATGGAGGCCCCTGGTGGCCCCTGGAGGCTCCTGAAGGCCCCTGGTGGTAGTGGTCACGTCCATGTTCTTTCCAACTCGTCGTGTAGCAAATGCCCAAAGACAAACTGGAACACTATAAGTGGTACAAGCCAGGCAATCACGTCCCGTTCGCACGTCAGAGCAACTCGGACGGGGGATTTAGGAGACCAATGGATCGCACCATTACTTCCTCTTTGCTCGGTGACTTTTCCCAGAAAGGTACGCAGTTCTGCTGCTCTCCGTATTTTCATTGTTTTTTGTTGTAAAAGTGAACGTAAGTTACTTTAAAATATTTGTAAAGCTGGTGTAGTCACAGTGTTAACTTGTAGAACTGTTAGTTTTTTTATGCATAAACTTGCTAATTAGAGTAGAAGTTGCTGTGGCCTGTGTGTGCTGCAGGGCTGCTACGTAGCTTGTCGTGCTAGAGTGTATGGGGTCAACCCTATGTTCCCCGGGTCCTATGTTCCCCGCTAAGGTTAGGGTTAGGGTTAGGGTTCCCCGGTCCCATACAAAGCGGGGAACATAGGACCCGGGGAACATAGGTACGCTCCCGAGTGTACTGATGAGACTGGTTGTTAATAGGAGACATGTAGTGACTTTCCTCATGGTGTTACAGAGCACAGGGAGCATGTATGAGAAAACCTGTGAACACCTGTGAATGTTTCTTCTCCATAATGCAGGTATACAATGGAATAAATCGTGTTGAGACCATTCATGAGTGTGTCTTTGCCTATTAAACAACACAACGCAGAATTAGACCCACTACACCTCTACTGCCTGCTGTGACCTGTGCAATGTACATCTGTATATGAAAAGCTGTATATAGTGTCCATGTATTTGTCCTTTTTTTTTTTTATTATCTTTTATTTTTTCTATTCTATTTTTAATGAATGTCTTTTTTTAATCTATCGTGTTGTGTTGTATCTGAGCTGCTGTAGCGAGTGAATTTCCCCAATGAGAGATCAATAAAGTCCATCTTATCTTAGCTCGTTGTAAATTAATTACACTTTACATGCATATATTTATGGATGTGGGACTTATTCCAAACCACAATTATACATACAATGTGGCTCAATTTATTCTTCAAAAGTTATACTTATTTACTTCTAATGCATTTCATAGCACTAAACAGACATTATGCTGTTGTTAAGTTATTCAAAGGGTCTTAATGACACTAAAACTAGTATAAAATGGTGATAAGCAGAGAAGTACTCACTGTGTGAACTTGGAGTGGTTTGCTGGTGGTGCTGCTTCTTGAGTCCTTCCAAAGAGAAATGACTGAGAGACGAGGGAGAACTCTTGTATGAAGGATTCGGTCCACAGTAAACAACAGATGCAAAATGATAACAACTATCTTGTGAGTGTTTAAATAAACATTCTCCGATCTGTTTTTATTTTAAATATTTATTCATTCAAGAGTTTGCCAAATATGTTCTTTTAGTATTTTCAATTGACACCGATAAGCCCTCAACACTGAGAGCACTGCCAGTGAATAACACTGAATACAAGCAAGAAAAATGGGCAGCGTGAAGATCTGAGCCACTTGGACAAGGGCCACATTGTGATGGACGACTGGGTCAGAGCATCTGCAGCTCTTGTGGGGTGTTCCCAGTCTGCAGAGGTCAGTACCTATCAAAAGTGGTCCAAGGAAGAGAAAGAACCGGAGACAGGGTCATGGCTCATTGATGCAGGTGGGGAGTGAAGGCTGGCCCATTCTGCCGATCCAACAGACGAGCCACTGTGGCTCAAACTGCTGAAACAGTTAATGCTGGTTCTGATAGAAAGGGGTCAGAACACGCAGTGCAGAGCAGTCTGTTGGTCTGAGACAGACGTAGTGGAGTAAAATGTACAATGTTTCCTCTTAGTGGTGGAAAAGTAAAACAAACTAGGCAAACAAAAATCCTCTGGCAAAGTATGATTGTAATTTATTGTCCAGCGGTCAGTTTAGTGTCTGTCAGTTTTGGCTGATGCCCAGGATGATGCAACAGGACTCTGACTGCAGTTCACTAACAACGGTTTAATGAAACTTACATAGAGAACCTTTAAACTAGAGTGAAAGAATGAATTCAGACTCATTCTATGCAGTTTGCTTTATTTTCATGCTTTCAAAACACCACTTTTGAAATGTTAATCAGTCCCTCCAGGAAGTTGCAATCGTAACAATTAACACAAATTCAACCAATCCCTGTGAATCCTGAGCGACCATATTATTTTGTCCAATCACCACAACTTTTTCCAGAAGTTGACCAATCATTGGAGTTTCCTTCGTGTTTCACCAATCATTGCTAAGCAATATGTCACCAAACTAGTAGAGATTTTATTCTCACTGGAACATGTTGCCATCGATTTTTAATGAATGATGCATTTCATTGCAAAAAATAGAAAATATGAAAATGAAAATATAGAAACATTACATTGCATACATCGTCATGTATTTAATTTTGATAATTTTTTGGCAGCAAATCAGGAAAAAATTTAAATTGTACAGTGGCCCTGAAAGCCAAGTGAGCATTTTAATAATAACTAACACTGACTGTGTTATAACTCAGTTGTTAGGTTGTGTGTATAAATTTAAAAAATATGATCAAGGCATCATCTCTTGAACAGATGCCATCCATATACACTTACTTCCTGTATCATTCCCTTAATTATGACACTTACCAAACTCTAACTTAGCAAAGGCTCTGGGGTCAGTGCAACTGGAACCAGTGGCATCTGGAGCAAACAGATAAAACTGATATATACACACTAATATATTGAGAGCGGTAGATACAGGTCAGAGGTCTGTACTGTAGATAAGCTGGATAAGTCTCAGTTTGACACTAATTGTCTTTCCATTTAAAAATTCCAAAGTTACAGAGGTCGGCACTATAGATACAGGGCATAGGTCAGTGCTGTAGATAAGGTGGATAATGTATAATGAATATTATATTCAATTTCTGCCAATACATCATCCTAATTGTCAGACACTGGACCTTCAAAGTCAGAACTCTACAATTAAATTAAGAATTTTCACTTTTGGGGATTGAAAAAAAATTAAACTCAAAATTCACATACATTGTTCACGTGACCCTAATCCTCTTCCGTAGGATACAAGAACTCTCTATAGCTGACAAATGATGCATTTCATTGCAAAAAAATGCCTGAAAATATAGCAACATTACATTGCATTTCTCTAGAAATTGAATTCTGATCTGGTTAAATTCTTTCATAGAGGAGTATGTCAAAGCAAGAGTAATAATGACATGATGCAGATGCAATTCATGTTTTTTAAGAGATTAAGATGTATATAGTGGAGGGTAACAGACTAATACATTTAAGAGCAAATATACCTTAGAGCAATGGTTAGTCTCAAAGATCTACACCTTGAAGCATAATATCTCCATGAAAATGAGGATAAGGTTAATATATTTCAATTCACTGATTCAACAAATTATGATTCACTCTTTTTCACTCAGCTACGTCAATACCAAACTGAAACACTTCTTCTAAGATCAGGTATTGCAGGTGATACAAGAACTCTCTATAACTGACAAATAATGTAAGCATTCAGGAAGCACTCGTGTGTCACTCGCCAGACGCCATTTTCTGACAGCATGGTGCAGCCTGTAGCCTCAATGGATTTGTCTGGCTGCCCTTCTCCCCATTTGGTGAAGGTCAGAGGTCGGTTATTCATATCTGCCTCAAAGTTCCCCTCCGCTTTTTATTATTGACGTTGATCCAGGCTTCTTTGTAAACGTCCCCAAAGAACTGAGTCAGTGCAATGTTCTCCTTCTCGTTCTGGGGCAAAGCCAGATCTAAACCTTGTTGGGAGCAGAACTCGACGGCCCTGGAGAATGAGTCTCTCTCCTTGTAGGACACAAAGTATTTCTGACCAACTCTTCGGACAAAGTCGTAGTTTATAGCTGCAAAAAGAAAACAGCAAGCAGCGAATCAGGAATCAATGAGTTATGAGCACATTTGTGTTCATAAAGTAGAAATTAAATTGTACAGTGGCCCTAAAAGCCAAGTGAGCCTTTTAATAATAACTAACACTCATTGTGTTATAACTCAGTTGTGAGGTTGTGTGTATAAATTTGATAAATCCCTTAATTATAACACTTACCCAACTCTAACTTAGCAAAGGCTCTGGGGTCTGTGCAACTGGAACCAGTGGCATCTGGAGCAAACAGATTAAACAGATTAATCTTTGCAACAGATGAATCTCATATCTGTTTACACAGTTACAAATGTGCACCTTCTACAAATCAGATGCTTACAGTGCCTTCAGTGCAGTGCAAATGTACCACATTATACCATAACATGTGTGTGTAGTGAGTATTCAGTCCACCAGAGGCTGCCATTGACACAGTATGGGAGAATTCACAACAATAAGCAGGGCCTTATGTGAATATCGATGTAAATTGAGAATATACTTATCAATAATGAAAGTAACATTGGCTGCAGCTTCAGTGGTGCTGTTTTAAAATGCATTGTGTTGAGAGATTTAGGATCAGTATTTAACACAGAGTGAAATCAACAGCTCTCTGATTCAGCCTCATTGAGATTCATGTACTGATACATACAGTTCATCTTTTTGTGCCAGTCTTTTGTACAGAGGTGGGAAACTTAAGTTCTTCACGTATCTGTACTTTACATTAGGATTTATTTTTCGGACAACTCTTTACTTTTACTCCCTACATTTTTACACAGATATCTGTACTTTCTGCTGCAGAATGCATTTGTCATTATCACAAATGATGACGTAACACAACAAAACCAATAAATAAGACTCAACAAGACAAAACAGACAAGAGAGGGAGACTCCACCCTGTCTTTAGTTTCAGTTAACTTAGCACAGAAACAGCTGAACAGAAATGTCCTTCAAGGAAACCGAAAGAGTATTTTTTACTTTTATACTTTGAGTACATTTCAGAGCCTCAACTTTTGCACTTATACTTGAGCAAAGAATCAGTACTTCTACTATTAACAGAGTCTTTTAAAGTATTTGTACTTAAGAATGTGAGTACTTTTGCCAGCTCTGCCTTTATTTAACAACTAGTGTGTCCATGTCTGCTAACATTTCCCTCTGCAGGATAATAAAGAAATAAACACAAAATCCATAATGACCTTGTCTGCACATCATGTTGGATCCGGGTTCTCCAGGTCGTCCGGGTTCTCCAGGTCGTCCGGGTTCTCCAGGTTGTCCAGGTTCTCCAGGTCGTCCGGGTTGTCCGGGTTCTCCAGGTCTTCCTGCTATGCCAGGAAATCCTGATGATCCCTGATCCCCTGAAGAGTGGGGTAATAGATGTTAAACAATTAAAGGTTGACAGCATGGAGCAGGTTGTGTCCTGGATGTTTCTCTGCCTTAACAAGACAACACAAGTTAGCCTGCCTCGTAACTTAATAAAGTGATGGAGTGGTGGCTGGGATTGTACCTTTTCAAGTGAAGGAAAAGATTTGTAGTGTTTCCCGTCTTGGTTGGAGCTGACCGACAACATGTTTTGCAGACCGTCTGAATCTGCACTTTGTCACCTCTGAGATATCAAAACCACTTTGGTAGAATGGACATTGTGTTACCTTTTTCCTTGTCTTTGGAGGATGACGCAAGTTCACCTTCAGAACTTTAGCACAAGGAGATCTTTGTGGGTTTGTGTTCTGCTTCTTCAACAGCTGTTTGCAGCTGTTTTCATCATACTGTGGCTCTTTTGTTGCACTTATAATATACAAAATAGACCCCTTGCCATAGTGCAAACAGGAAGCGACACAGAGAGGCAAAAGATGCTTTCTTGTACCGCTGTTCTGCTTTTTTTTACCTTCTTTTCAGAGGACATCAATGTTCACTTTCACTTTCTTCACTGTAGCTCAAACAATGCTTTTTATTAAGATCCTGTATCGAGATTGTTTTATCGCCCAGTCCTGGAAGAAACAATCTGGAAGGGTACATGGGAGAATCTAAGGGAGGTTGGAGGCAGATTTTAGGATTGTAGCTACAAAGAAACTCCTCTCGTTCAACAGGGAGCTGCCAGAGTTCAGTCAAAAGACGGTTGAAGTTTGATCTGAAATGACATTGTTGGGAAAATAACTGTGGTGGATTAACACCCACCTTTTTGACCTGGGATTCCGGGCATTCCGCTTTCCCCAGCTGGTCCAGGTACCCCAGGGAAGCCAGGATAACCTCTGTCACCTTTGGGACCAGAAGGACCAGGAGGACCAGGAGGACCATGAAGCTGACTGTTGCCAATTGGAGCCATCAGGCAGAGGATGCAGGATAAAAGAAACAGCCTCATCTTCTCAGTGCAGAACTGAAATAGGAAATACATTAAAGAATTTTCCTTTATAGAGCTCCATCAGAAATATTTTCATCATCATTTACAACCATTAAATCAAAGTGTATAAAATAAGGTCAGACATGTTCTTTACTAACAGAGACTATGATCTTAATGTCTCCAATAGTTCCCACCTCGTTAAGAATGAATGATATTTTCCATGCACACATAGTTATGGATGTCAGATTTGCAGATATTCCAAACAACTGTTCAACATACAGAAGATTTAGTGGCTACATTTATTTGTTATACTTTTGATAAATTTCATAGCACTAAACAGACACTATACTGTTGTAAAGACATTCAAAAGGTCTTAATGACACTAAAACTAGTATTAAACAGTAATAAGGGGAGATGTACTCACTGTGTGAACTTGAAGTGGTTTGCTGGTTGTGCTGCTTCTTGAGTCCTTCCAAAGAAAAATCAGAGATGAGGCACGTACGAAGGAGTCCAAAACCCTCCCTCTTCTTTAACCAATAATAGCAGAGTGTAGTGACAACAACAGTCCTGTTTAAACTAAACCAAACAATCTGTTTCTATTTAAATCTTTATTTATCAGCCAAGATCGACACCCTCACACACACACACACACACACTCCCACATGCAGAAAGATACGTTGCTATCATATGACTGTGTGTAATTGTTATAGACTTGTGATGGCTATACCTGTGTGATCTTTGTTACCAAAAAACTACTTTTGGAGTGCACTGGTTTCTTTAGGCTGATTTAGCCTAGCTTGTAGCTGGTAGCTAGCTTTAGCAGTCCGGATTGTTCTGATGATGAAGGATGGTTGTGAGACTTGGTGGCATTTATGAACAGGAACTTTATTTAACTTTATCGTAAGACCTTAAGACCTTTACACAATGGGAGCGTTTTTGGACATGTAATGTTTGACAGATTGAATCACATTTTACAGAACAGACGGCAGTGTATACAGATATATATACTATAATATATATATATATATTATGTGTGTGTATATATACACACTAATATATTGTAATGATTAAAATAAAAAGATTTATTTTAAAAATTAAACTACAAATTTTCACTTTAAACTTTTTGGGGATTTTTAAAATTTAAACTCAGAACTCACATACATTGTTCACATGTGGCCCTAATCCTCTTCTGTAGGGTACAAGAACTCTCTATAACTGACAAATAATGTAAGCATTCAGGAAGCACTCGTGTGTCACTCGCCAGACGCCATTTTCTGACAGCATGGTGCAGCCTGTAGCCTCAATGGATTTGTCTGGCTGCCCTTCTCCCCATTTGGTGAAGGTCAGAGGTCGGTTATTCATATCTGCCTCAAAGTTCCCCTCTGCTTTTTTATTATTGACGTTGATCCAGGCTTCTTTGTAAACGTCCCCAAAGAACTGAGTCAGTGCAATGTTCTCCTCCTCGTTCTGGGGCAAAGCCAGATCTAAACCTTGTTGGGAGCAGAACTCGACGGCCCTGGAGAACGAGTCTCTCTCCTTGTAGGACACAAAGTATTTCTGACCAACTCTTCGGACAAAGTCATAGTTTATAGCTGCAAAAAGAAAACAGCAAGCAGCGAATCAGGAATAAATCAGCACATATACATATTTGTTTCCAATAAACTGTAAACTGTATCACCATCCTGGCATTGACATGCAGCATCAGACACTCTGACCTCCTCACCGAGGTGAAATACAGGCCTGTGTCTACTGAACCATACTGTAGCTACATTTTACCCACTTCAACTTCCAAATCTGATGTTTAATAAAGAAACAAAACTGAAATATTTATGATTCTTTACATGTTTTTTGATTGCCCATTTCAAATAAAGCAGTGTATAATGTAAATAAATAATCTCCTTCATCTAAATGAGATTAATGGAGTCCAGTACAGCAACATTTAACTGAAAATATTTAGCTAATCCTTTCTCAAACATCCTACGTACAAAGAAGAATAAGGTATACATATATTTCTCCATCCACATGTGCTCACTTCCTTTAATACTCCCTTTTAGTCTTTGAATAGGATACTTACCAAGCTCTAACTTTGCAAAGCTCTTCCTTAAGTGTTCAGTCTCCAGGATAGCAGAATCAAGGCGATCTGGATTAAGGAGAGTAAATTCAGTTACCAAAGTTGCAATAAACTGGATCTCACAGAAGAAAGGTTATTTTTTTCCTTTCCTTCACAGTAACATTCACCTTACAACATAATGCAAACCAGAGCTGAAATACTGAATATATTAATTCAACTCTGTGGTCATTGGAGATAGTTAGTGCTAAAGTGATAAGTTCATTAACTGAGTTCTTGTAAAGACTATGTCTTATGATACTTATGATTACTTATGACTAGTCCTCTCAGCTCCAGCCTCAACTGTTCATTTTAAATTATTTCAGAACAAAGTTGGGAGAAATGACTATAAAATGATGCACATGACATCTAGTATATTTCCATTTGAGTATTGGGTTTCAGTGTATCACTAAACATTATATGTCTTTGGAGAAGAGCTAGATCAAGCAGATGCACAATATATCTGATACTGTCACACAGTGAGGTATAATAATTAAATTCTTAAAGGGTTGAATCACTGTCAGGTTTATAAGGCTTAAAATGTGACACAGACCTGAATCGAAACATGTGTCTCAACAAACTTGAAAAGCATTTTCTGTGTCCAACACTGTATGTCAGTCCTGTTCAACAACAACTAGTGTAAAACTTCCTCGCTCAGGAAGGAACAACTTCCCACAATAACGACAGAAAACTATTGTCTGCATGCTGAATTGTAATAAATTACATAGCAAGTACTCAATAGATGAAAGAATTCTATAAGGTAGAAAAATTCTCTGAAAGATAATCACCTTGTCCACACATTTCTACTGGTCCAGGTGGTCCACGTGGTCCAGGAGGTCCAGCTGGTCCAGCACCTCCTCTGTCCCCTTAAGAGCAGGAAAAAACAAATTAAACAAGCCTAAAAATCCAAACCCTCACCAAAAATAGAAAAAGAAAATTTTTGATGGATGTAACTTACAGAGATGACTTTGTTAATCTCATTACAGTTTTTCTCCATTGGTTTGGCTCATTTCTTGAAACAGAAATGACATTCTCAAAACTCTAAGATCATTTGGCAAAACAGTCTTACAGTTCAGCACAACACCATAGTTCACTTGCAAAAGCTCATATCTCTCCCAAAACAGTTCACTAAATTTCTTTCTCATATAAATAGTCAGTACCTCCAAAATGCATCGTCCCTTTGGCATTGTGTGAGCACTGCAAGTCAAAATGTTTAGATGTTTTGTCACTATGGCAGAGGACCTTATCCCTCATGTCCACCTCTCAGTCTTAGCCCAGTCTTTCATTCACAATGGTTACTGTACTAGTTTTTTTGTCTGGCTAACAGAATACCATTGTGTATAAAACTGAAAAAATAAAAAATAAAAAAACAAGATTTTAGGGGAAGAGTAGCCTCAAAGGTTTGACATCACATATTGCACACACACTGCCAAGGAAAGGTAGCCATTTTTATTCACACACATAAAGTAACCTCCATATCAGAGTAAAAAGAAAATGTAGAAAGCATAATATACTGTTATATAAACACGTAAACAAAAACAAGGACGATTATATGTAGTCTACAGTGCTGTAAATAAATACAGTAGTCTATATGGTATTCATGGTATTATGTTGACTCATTCTGACCATTGAACAGACTATTGTGCATGTGATGACTTATAAAATGAAATGATGCTGACATGTTTTGGAGAGAACAACCATTAGACTGAGAATCAATCAATCAGTTTAGATCAACAGGATCTAATCACTTGGAAATTGTGCTAAATGTAGGCTAACTGTGCTAACTTTAGGCTAACTGTACTTAATCATTTGCAAAGATGGACTAAGACTTTGCAATGTGATGAAATCAATGAGAAATACAATTCTGTTGTGAACATTTGCCAAGTGGTTTGGAGGTTTGTCCATGTTGTTTTGAGAATGTAATTTCTGTTTCAAGAAATGAGCCAAACCAATGGAGAAAAACTGTAATTTAATAATGTCAAATTTAAAAGTTCAGCCTGAGGATGGGAATGGAAGAAGTCTTATTGTTACAAGTCAAAGGGGTTCTTTAATGTCAGCCCTCAGAACTTTTTGGCCTGGAGGTGACAGTAGAGGACAAGTAAGACAATGACCAAAACACATTGGAAATTTTATTTTGTCTATCATATGTCTATCGTAACTTGCTCGCCAGTATACAGGAGGCACACCGCTGACACTAAAAGTCCCAGAATTCACTGCAATGTAGCTAGCATGCTAAGACCTTCAAGCCCAGGTGCACCTTCCTACTACTCTATTGCACTCATCAGAGGTCAGAAGTCATCTACACTCGTCACTTTGAATTAAATTTAAATAAAACAGGGGCTTTTAAGACAGGTCAGAGGAAGAATATCTGTTTACTAGCATTAGCATAAGACACTTTGAGACAAAGTCCCAAGACTCAACAAGTACAAGCACGTGGACAGATAGACATCAGAAGGTAGAGGAGTTGAAAAAAAGATGGAAAAAGACATATTTGAGGAAGTATCTAAATGTGTGAATGAAGTGAAACTGCCCTGGGACAAACTGACGGGACTGGCATCAGATGGAGCGCCTGCAATGTGCGGTGAAAAGAACAGATTAGTGGGGAGGATGCAGGAGAAATGTGCAGGTGAGCTGACAGTGCATCACTACATCATCACTGATGAAAGAGCACCTGTGAACATCCAAATGGAGCTGATAGACCTCCAGTGTAATGACTCAAGACTCAAGGCAAAATATGACTCTGTGGATGCTTCACAGTTTCCAAGTTTCATCCCTGAAACGATGCCTCAACTCCGCCTTCATACTGCTCAAATGCTCTCCATGTTTGGAATGGTAAATGGTAAATGGACCTGTACTTGTGCCTTTCTAGTCTTCTGACCACTCAAAACGCTTTTTACACTACATACCACATTCACCCTTTCACACACATTCACTCAGTGATGCACAGCATCAGGAGCAATTTGTGGATCAGTATCTTTCTCAAGAATAACTCATGGAGCCCAATGGGCACAGGTGGTGCAGGTAACCTAGGCAACCCATGATCACATTCGTCACCTTTGGAACCATCACGGCCAGGAGGACCAAGAGGACCAGTACGACCAGGAAAACCAGGAGGACCAGCAGGACCAGGAGGACCAGGAATACCAGGAGGACCAGGAGGACCAGGAGGACCAGGAGGACCATGAAGCTGACTGTAGCCAATAGGAGCCATCAGGCAGAGGACGCAGGATAAGAGAAACAGCCTCATCTTCTCAGTGCAGAACTGAAATAGGAAATATAATAAAGAATTTTCCTTTATAGAGCTGTATCAGAAATATTTTGATCATCATTTACAAACATTAATTCAAAGTGAATGAATTCAATATTTAGTTCCTGGTTCTCTCTACTGCTGTATATATTTCTGTCCTGTGCTATTATTTCGTTGCACACCATGCCTCTGTAGTGGTGTGATGTGTTGCGCCATATTATGAACAAGTCAGTGAAGCACAGACTTTTATTTTAAAGGGTAATCTTTTGAGGATTGTTACTATAGTATGAGGAAATTGTGTAATTGTAAATGTTCATGCTAATGTTTTGAGACATATGTCAGGGAAAAATGTTGGATTATTACCGGAAGTATAGCAAGTATTTTATTTTCTAAACCTGCACTTACCGCGTTGTGACGGGTTTTATGGTGCTTTCCATTTGTCTCGTAAATCCCCCGCCCGAGTTGGAACGTGTAAATCTCGCAGCTATCTCGGGACATTTCACCGAGACACCCCCCTTTTGGTCGTAATATCAACCGTCCCACTCGGGGCTCCTCAGAGTACAACGAGCTGAACGAGCAGGAACGTACAACTCGCAAAACAAAGATGGCTGCACCCGTATTGAGATGTATTTTCTTTGTATTTGTGCTACTTTGGTCGTTTTAATGACGATTTTAAATGCTCTTACACTATTTACATTGCTGCTTTAGTCCGATCACCAATTTATGCATTACACGGTGTTGCTGTGCGTGCAATACAATGTAAAGATTTGTTTTCGAGCTGGTTTGCTAAATAGGCTAATGTTGCTAACAGTAAGACTAACCTGCCCCTGCCCCTGGAGGCCCATGGTGGCCCCTGGAGGCCCATGGAGGCCCCTGGTGGCCCCTGGAGGCTCCTGAAGGCCCCTGGTGGTAGTGGTCACGTCCATGTTCTTTCCAACTCGTCGTGTAGCAAATGCCCAAAGACAAACTGGAACACTATAAGTGGTACAAGCCAGGCAATCACGTCCCGTTCGCACGTCAGAGCAACTCGGACGGGGGATTTAGGAGACCAATGGATCGCACCATTACTTCCTCTTTGCTCGGTGACTTTTCCCAGAAAGGTACGCAGTTCTGCTGCTCTCCGTATTTTCATTGTTTTTTGTTGTAAAAGTGAACGTAAGTTACTTTAAAATATTTGTAAAGCTGGTGTAGTCACAGTGTTAACTTGTAGAACTGTTAGTTTTTTTATGCATAAACTTGCTAATTAGAGTAGAAGTTGCTGTGGCCTGTGTGTGCTGCAGGGCTGCTACGTAGCTTGTCGTGCTAGAGTGTATGGGGTCAACCCTATGTTCCCCGGGTCCTATGTTCCCCGCTAAGGTTAGGGTTAGGGTTAGGGTTCCCCGGTCCCATACAAAGCGGGGAACATAGGACCCGGGGAACATAGGTACGCTCCCGAGTGTACTGATGAGACTGGTTGTTAATAGGAGACATGTAGTGACTTTCCTCATAGTGTTACAGAGCACAGGGAGCATGTATGAGAAAACCTGTGAACACCTGTGCATGTTTCTTCTCCATAATGCAGGTATACAATGGAATAAATCGTGTTGAGACCATTCATGAGTGTGTCTTTGCCTATTAAACAACACAACGCAGAATTAGACCCACTCCACCTCTACTGCCTGCTGTGACCTGTGCAATGTACATCTGTATATGAAAAGCTGTATATAGTGTCCATGTATTTGTCCTTTTTTTTTTTATTATCTTTTATTTTTTCTATTCTATTTTTAATGAATGTCTTTTTTTAATCTATCGTGTTGTGTTGTATCTGAGCTGCTGTAGCGAGTGAATTTCCCCAATGAGAGATCAATAAAGTCCATCTTATCTTAGCTCGTTGTAAATTAATTACACTTTACATGCACATATTTATGGATGTGGGACTTATTCCAAACCACAATTATACATACAATGTGGCTCAATTTATTCTTCAAAAGTTATACTTATTTACTTCTAATGCATTTCATAGCACTAAACAGACATTATGCTGTTGTTAAGTTATTCAAAGGGTCTTAATGACACTAAGCCTAGTATAAAATAGTGATAAGCAGAGAAGTACTCACTGTGTGAACTTGGAGTGGTTTGCTGGTGGTGCTGCTTCTTGAGTCCTTCCAAAGAGAAATGACTGAGAGACGAGGGAGAACTCTTGTATGAAGGATTCGGTCCACAGTAAACAACAGATGCAAAATGATAACAACTATCTTGTGAGTGTTTAAATAAACATTCTCCGATCTGTTTTTATTTTAAATATTTATTCATTCAAGAGTTTGCCAAATATGTTCTTTTAGTATTTTCAATTGACACCAATAAGCCCTCAACACTGAGAGCACTGCCAGTGAATAACACTGAATACAAGCAAGAAAAATGGGCAGCGTGAAGATCTGAGCCACTTGGACAAGGGCCACATTGTGATGGACGACTGGGTCAGAGCATCTGCAGCTCTTGTGGGGTGTTCCCAGTCTGCAGAGGTCGGTACCTTTTAAAAGTGGTCCAAGGAAGGAAAAGAACAGGAGACAGGGTCATGGCTCATTGATGCAGGTGGGGAGTGAAGGCTGGCCCGTTCTGCCGATCCAACAGATGAGCCACTGTAGCTCAAACTGCTGAAACAGTTAATGCTGGTTCTGATAGAAAGGGGTCAGAACACACAGTGCAGAGCAGTCTGTTGGTCTGAGACAGACGTAGTGGAGTATAATGTACAATCTTAGTGGTGGAAAAGTAAAACAAACTAGGCAAACAAAAATCCTCTGGCAAAGTATGATTGTAATTTATTGTCCAGCGGTCAGTTTAGTGTCTGTCAGTTTTGGCTGATGCCCAGGATGATGCAACAGGAGTCTGACTGCAGTTCACTAACAACGGTTTAATGAAACTTACATAGAGAACCTTTAAACTAGAGTGAAAGAATGAATTCAGACTCATTCTATGCAGTTTGCTTTATTTTCATGCTTTCAAAACACCACTTTTGAAATGTTCATCAGTCCCTCCAGGAAGTTGCAATCGTAACAATTAACACAAATTCAACCAATCCCTGTGAATCCTGAGCGACCATATTATTTTGTCCAATCACCACAACTTTTCCCAGAGGTTGACCGATCATTGGAGTTTCCTTCGTGTTTCACCAATCATTGCTAAGCAATATGTCACCAAACTAGTAGAGATTTTATTCTCACTGGAACATGTTGCCATCGATTTTTAATGAATGATGCATTTCATTGCAAAAAATAGAAAATATGAAAATGAAAATATAGAAACATTACATTGCATACATCGTCATGTATTTAATTTTGATAATTTTTTGGCAGCAAATCAGGAAAAAATTTAAATTGTACAGTGGCCCTGAAAGCCAAGTGAGCATTTTAATAATAACTAACACTGACTGTGTTATAACTCAGTTGTTAGGTTGTGTGTATACATTTTTAAAAAAATGATCAAGGCATCATCTCTTGAACAGATGCCATCCATATACACTTACTTCCTGTATCATTCCCTTAATTATGACACTTACCAAACTCTAACTTAGCAAAGGCTCTGGGGTCAGTGCAACTGGAACCAGTGGCATCTGGAGCAAACAGATAAAACTGATGTATACACATTAATATATTGAGAGCGGTAGATACAGGTCAGAGGTCTGTACTGTAGATAAGCTGGATAAGTCTCAGTTTGACACTAATTGTCTTTCCATTTAAAAATTCCAAAGTTACAGAGGTCGGCACTATAGATACAGGGCATAGGTCAGTGCTGTAGATAAGGTGGATAATGTATAATGAATATTATATTCAATTTCTGCCAATACATCATCCTAGTTGTCAGACACTGGACCTTCAAAGTCAGAACTCTACAATTAAATTAAGAATTTTCACTTTTGGGGATTGAAAAAAAAATTAAACTCAAAATTCACATACATTGTTCACATGTGACCCTAATCCTCTTCCGTAGGATACAAGAACTCTCTATAGCTGACAAATGATGCAGTTCATTGCAAAAAAATGCCTGAAAATATAGCAACATTACATTGCATTTCTCTAGAAATTGAATTCTGATCTGGTTAAATGTTTTCATAGAGGAGTATGTCAAAGCAAGAGTAATAATGACATGATACAGATGAAATTCATGTTTTTTAAGAGATTAAGATGTATCACAAGGATAGTGGAGGGTAACAGACTAATACATTTAAGAGCAAATATACCTTAGAGCAATGGTTAGCCTCGCTATCTCCATGAAAATGAGGATAAGGTTAATATTTTTCAATTCACTGATTCAACAAATTATGATTCACTCTTTTTCACTCAGCTACGTCAATACCAAACTGAAACACTTCTTCTAAGATCAGGTATTGCAGGTGATACAAGAACTCTCTATAACTGACAAATAATGTAAGCATTCAGGAAGCACTCGTGTGTCACTCGCCAGACGCCATTTTCTGACAGCATGGTGCAGCCTGTAGCCTCAATGGATTTGTCTGGCTGCCCTTCTCCCCATTTGGTGAAGGTCAGAGGTCGGTTATTCATATCTGCCTCAAAGTTCCCCTCTGCTTTTTTATTATTGACGTTGATCCAGGCTTCTTTGTAAACGTCCCCAAAGAACTGAGTCAGTGCAATGTTCTCCTTCTCGTTCTGGGGCAAAGCCAGATCTAAACCTTGTTGGGAGCAGAACTCGACGGCCCTGGAGAATGAGTCTCTCTCCTTGTAGGACACAAAGTATTTCTGACCAACTCTTCGGACAAAGTCGTAGTTTATAGCTGCAAAAGAAAACAGCAAGCAGCGAATCAGGAATCAATGAGTTATGAGCACATTTGTGTTCATAAAGTAGAAATTAAATTGTACAGTGGCCCTAAAAGCCAAGTGAGCCTTTTAATAATAACTAACACTCATTGTGTTATAACTCAGTTGTGAGGTTGTGTGTATAAATTTGATAAATCCCTTAATTATAACACTTACCCAACTCTAACTTAGCAAAGGCTCTGGGGTCTGTGCAACTGGAACCAGTGGCATCTGGAGCAAACAGATTAAACAGATTAATCTTTGCAACAGATGAATCTCACATCTGTTTACACAGTTACAAATGTGCACCTTCTACAAATCAGATGCTTACAGTGCCTTCAGTGCAGTGCAAATGTACCACATTATACCATAACATGTGTGTGTAGTGAGTATTCAGTCCACCAGAGGCTGCCATTGACACAGTATGGGAGAATTCACAACAATAAGCAGGGCCTTATGTGAATATCGATGTAAATTGAGAATATACTTATCAATAATGAAAGTAACATTGGCTGCAGCTTCAGTGGTGCTGTTTTAAAATGCATTGTGTTGAGAGATTTAGGATCAGTATTTAACACAGAGTGAAATCAACAGCTCTCTGATTCAGCCTCATTGAGATTCATGTACTGATACATACAGTTCATCTTTTTGTGCCAGTCTTTTGTACAGAGGTGGGAAACTTAAGTTCTTCACGTATCTGTACTTTACATTAGGATTTATTTTTCGGACAACTCTTTACTTTTACTCCCTACATTTTTACACAGATATCTGTACTTTCTGCTGCAGAATGCATTTGTCATTATCACAAATGATGACGTAACACAACAAAACCAATAAATAAGACTCAACAAGACAAAACAGACAAGAGAGGGAGACTCCACCCTGTCTTTAGTTTCAGTTAACTTAGCACAGAAACAGCTGAACAGAAATGTCCTTCAAGGAAACCGAAAGAGTATTTTTTACTTTTATACTTTGAGTACATTTCAGAGCCTCAACTTTTTCACTTATACTTGAGCAAAGAATCAGTACTTCTACTATTAACAGAGTCTTTTAAAGTATTTGTACTTAAGAATGTGAGTACTTTTGCCAGCTCTGCCTTTATTTAACAACTAGTGTGTCCATGTCTGCTAACATTTCCCTCTGCAGGATAATAAAGAAATAAACACAAAATCCATAATGACCTTGTCTGCACATCATGTTGGATCCGGGTTCTCCAGGTCGTCCGGGTTCTCCAGGTCGTCCGGGTTCTCCAGGTTGTCCAGGTTCTCCAGGTCGTCCGGGTTGTCCGGGTTCTCCAGGTCTTCCTGCTATGCCAGGAAATCCTGATGATCCCTGATCCCCTGAAGAGTGGGGTAATAGATGTTAAACAATTAAAGGTTGACAGCATGGAGCAGGTTGTGTCCTGGATGTTTCTCTGCCTTAACAAGACAACACAAGTTAGCCTGCCTCGTAACTTAATAAAGTGATGGAGTGGTGGCTGGGATTGTACCTTTTCAAGTGAAGGAAAAGATTTGTAGTGTTTCCCGTCTTGGTTGGAGCTGACCGACAACATGTTTTGCAGACCGTCTGAATCTGCACTTTGTCACCTCTGAGATATCAAAACCACTTTGGTAGAATGGACATTGTGTTACCTTTTTCCTTGTCTTTGGAGGATGACGCAAGTTCACCTTCAGAACTTTAGCACAAGGAGATCTTTGTGGGTTTGTGTTCTGCTTCTTCAACAGCTGTTTGCAGCTGTTTTCATCATACTGTGGCTCTTTTGTTGCACTTATAATATACAAAATAGACCCCTTGCCATAGTGCAAACAGGAAGCGACACAGAGAGGCAAAAGATGCTTTCTTGTACCGCTGTTCTGCTTTTTTTACCTTCTTTTCAGAGGACATCAATGTTCACTTTCACTTTCTTCACTGTAGCTCAAACAATGCTTTTTATTAAGATCCTGTATCGAGATTGTTTTATCGCCCAGTCCTGGAAGAAACAATCTGGAAGGGTACATGGGAGAATCTAAGGGAGGTTGGAGGCAGATTTTAGGATTGTAGCTACAAAGAAACTCCTCTCGTTCAACAGGGAGCTGCCAGAGTTCAGTCAAAAGACGGTTGAAGTTTGATCTGAAATGACATTGTTGGGAAAATAACTGTGGTGGATTAACACCCACCTTTTTGACCTGGGATTCCGGGCATTCCGCTTTCCCCAGCTGGTCCAGGTACCCCAGGGAAGCCAGGATAACCTCTGTCACCTTTGGGACCAGAAGGACCAGGAGGACCAGGAGGACCATGAAGCTGACTGTTGCCAATTGGAGCCATCAGGCAGAGGATGCAGGATAAAAGAAACAGCCTCATCTTCTCAGTGCAGAACTGAAATAGGAAATACATTAAAGAATTTTCCTTTATAGAGCTCCATCAGAAATATTTTCATCATCATTTACAACCATTAAATCAAAGTGTATAAAATAAGGTCAGACATGTTCTTTACTAACAGAGACTATGATCTTAATGTCTCCAATAGTTCCCACCTCGTTAAAAATGAATGATATTTTCCATGCACACATAGTTATGGATGTCAGATTTGCAGATATTCCAAACAACTGTTCAACATACAGAAGATTTAGTGGCTACATTTATTTGTTATACTTTTGATAAATTTCATAGCACTAAACAGACACTATACTGTTGTAAAGACATTCAAAAGGTCTTAATGACACTAAAACTAGTATTAAACAGTAATAAGGGGAGATGTACTCACTGTGTGAACTTGAAGTGGTTTGCTGGTTGTGCTGCTTCTTGAGTCCTTCCAAAGAAAAATCAGAGATGAGGCACGTACGAAGGAGTCCAAAACCCTCCCTCTTCTTTAACCAATAATAGCAGAGTGTAGTGACAACAACAGTCCTGTTTAAACTAAACCAAACAATCTGTTTCTATTTAAATCTTTATTTATCAGCCAAGATCGACACCCTCACACACACACACACACACACTCCCACATGCAGAAAGATACGTTGCTATCATATGACTGTGTGTAATTGTTATAGACTTGTGATGGCTATACCTGTGTGATCTTTGTTACCAAAAAACTACTTTTGGAGTGCACTGGTTTCTTTAGGCTGATTTAGCCTAGCTTGTAGCTGGTAGCTAGTTTTAGCAGTCCGGATTGTTCTGATGATGAAGGATGGTTGTGAGACTTGGTGGCATTTATGAACAGGAACTTTATTTAACTTTATCGTAAGACCTTAAGACCTTTACACAATGGGAGCGTTTTTGGACATGTAATGTTTGACAGATTGAATCACATTTTACAGAACAGACGGCAGTGTATACAGATATATATACTATAATATATATATATATATTATGTGTGTGTATATATACACACTAATATATTGTAATGATTAAAATAAAAAGATTTATTTTAAAAATTAAACTACAAATTTTCACTTTAAACTTTTTTGGGGATTTTTAAAATTTAAACTCAGAACTCACATACATTGTTCACATGTGGCCCTAATCCTCTTCTGTAGGGTACAAGAACTCTCTATAACTGACAAATAATGTAAGCATTCAGGAAGCACTCGTGTGTCACTCGCCAGACGCCATTTTCTGACAGCATGGTGCAGCCTGTAGCCTCAATGGATTTGTCTGGCTGCCCTTCTCCCCATTTGGTGAAGGTCAGAGGTCGGTTATTCATATCTGCCTCAAAGTTCCCCTCTGTTTTTTTATTATTGACGTTGATCCAGGCTTCTTTGTTAACGTCCCCAAAGAACTGAGTCAGTGCAATGTTCTCCTCCTCGTTCTGGGGCAAAGCCAGATCTAAACCTTGTTGGGAGCAGAACTCGACGGCCCTGGAGAACGAGTGTCTCTCCTTGTAGGACACAAAGTATTTCTGACCAACTCTTCGGACAAAGTCATAGTTTATAGCTGCAAAAAGAAAACAGCAAGCAGCAAATTAGGAATCAATCAGCACATATAAACATTTGTTTCCAATAAACTGTAAACTGTATCACCGTCCTGGCATCGACATGCAGCATCAGACACTCTGACCTCCTCACCGAGGTGAAATACAGGCCTGTGTCTACTGAACCATACTGTAGCTACATTTTACCCACTTCAACTTCCAAATCCGATGTTTAATAAAGAAACAAAACTGAAATATTTATGATTCTTTACATGTTTGTGGATTGCCCATTACAAATAAAGCAGTGTATACTGTAAATAAAAAAAGTTTTTCCTTCATCTAAATGAGATTAATGGAGTCCAGTACAGCAGCATTTAACTGAAAATATTTAGTTAATCCTTTCTCAAACATCCTACGCACACAGAAGAATAAGGTATACATATATTTCTCCATCCACATGTGCTCACTTCCTTTAATACTCCCTTTTAGTCTTTGAATAGGATACTTACCAAGCTCTAACTTAGCAAAGCTCTTCTTTAAGTGTTCAGTCTCCCGGATAGCAGAATCAAGGAGATCTGGATTAAGGAGAGTAAATTCAGTTACCAAAGTTGCAATAAACTGGACCTCACAGAAGAAAGGCTAATCTTTTCCTTTCCTTCACAGTAACATTCACCTTACAACATAATGCAAACCAGAGCTGAAATACTGAATCTATTAATAATTACCTTTTTGTTCAGGATGTTTCACAAAGATATGAATTCAACTCTATGGTCATTGGAGATAGTTAGTGCTATTAGTTCATTAACTGAGTTCTTGTAAAGACTGTTCATTTTAAATTATTTTAGAACAAATTTGGGGGAAATGTCTTTAAAATGATGCACATGACATCTAGTCTATCATTGAGTATTGGGTTTCAATGTATCACTAAACATCATGTCTTTGGAGAAGAGCTAGATCAAGCAGATGCACAATATATCTGATACTGTCACACAGTGAGGTAGCTGAATCAAAACATGTGTCTCAACAAACTTAAAAACCTTTTTTTGTGTCCAACACTTGTGTATGTCAGTCCCAACTTCCCACTATAACAACAGAAAATTATTGTCTGCATGCTGAATTCTAATCACCTCATCCACAAATCATAACTGGTCCCGGTCTTCCAGCTGATCCCATAGATCCTCTCTCCCCATTGAATAAGCGTAATCCTGATAAAATCATCCCATAGATAGGGGCCAGTAGGGGCCTACTCTACCTACTAGTAGGTGCAGGAGGCAGTTATCACCCATTCATCTGGCTGATCCAATACTATTCAAGCCCAGTAGGTACAGAAGGTGTGTTATCGAGCAGAGCAGTCACGTGACTGTCAGATTTCTGTCTGCATTTTCTTTTATTTTCAGTGGAAAAACAACATTTTAAGATATTTTTGGCATTAGAGTTCGTTGTGATCACATTTCTAGCAGGAAATGTGTACATTATTTCCATAATCTCTGTTGAATGAATGCCTCTGATGTTTCGTTTTTTCAGGCTTCTGTGGTGTCTGTTCTGTTTATGGTTGCTATGCAGTTGCTATGGGCGTCTTATCGCTGAAACACGTGAATATTGTTTTAATAATTGCATCAGAGCTGTAATGTTATTGGTGTTATTTTATGTAACTGCTCAATGATGATCTTAAAAATAAAAAACGTACATTTCAGAGTTTGCTCGTAATTGAATTTTAAATCCGGAACCTTTGTGTTTGGCTGAGCGGAGGACCGGCTGATATAAGACCGTGGCACTGTCAAGTTTACCCACTGACTGAATTAAAAAAATAAATATGCAACGTACGGTTACACTTTCAAAATCAAGCCAGAAGAGAAACGTTTCATGTTTATTATCTATTATATACTTAAAACAGAACCTCTGCTAATATTTGTCCACAGACAACAGACAAATTCTACCAGCTAGAAACTGTAAACTGAGAGTTTTATATAACCCAAACGGCCAATAATCTAATATTCTGTATAGATGAATGCATATTTTATTCATCAAATCACAGGATTTTATAAGCACAATCATGAATGCGTTTCATTTTTATTCCTCTGCGTTTGTTGTAGATTTCTTCTTAAAATCATTCTTGAAAAAATATTCAAATATACAAACCATTGGACAACAGAGCGGTTTGGTTTACTTTAGCCACGGCCAGTGTCGTTAAATATAATTAAATATGAAATATGAGCATGTTAAATATGAATATTTAATGTCACTTGTCTTGATGTCTCTTTCCCAGCAGAAATACACTATCGCGAGATTTGACAGTGCTGAATTGTCTATGGTGCTGAATTGTTGGTTTCATCAAATATGATCTCTAACAACTGAACTAAAACTTAAATCACCTTTTGAATTCATCTCTGGTACAACACAATCTGCTTCCATCCATCTACATGACGTTCACAACACCTGAATGAAGTTTGGAGATCAGGGGAAAGGAGACCACGCCCATTTGGGAAAGGTGAAGTGTGTAACGCTTCATATAATTGGTTTATAATTGGCGCAGATTATATTGCGTTTTTTTCTGTCATAGAATTTTTTTGTGGACGATAAGACAACTCCAGAAATACGTGTCTAATGTTGTATTCAGGTTTAATTAACATGGCACATCACGGACAGTAACAACACTGTTCATACATGAACAAATATTCATGGACATATTTATTAGTCTTCTTCACTCAAACACTGGCAGAGAGAGAACAACATTCAACATACAGGTGTCTTAAAGACACACAAACAAAAACATTAAATGGAGCCTATAAAGTTGCTGGCAGGCTCCCAGGTGTCTTCCCAAGTTTTGCCACTGAAAAAAAAGAAGGAATGCAAACAAGTGTAAGATCATTGCATATACCACAATATTAGTTTATATCAATGGGGTATCATAGAACAACAAATGACTTAGGATCGGTTTTTCAGAAGCCTGCTACTAACCAGTATGGAAGTAAGTACATATATATTTATAAAGCATACTGTAAAAAAAAGCTAACAGCTTTAAAATCAGCTAATGTGGGTCAAAGTTCTGAGCTCTTACCATGAGGAACAAGGCAGCCAGCTCACTTTTACCTCTTCTCTTCCTGCACACACACACACACACACACACACACACACACACACACACACACACACACACACACACAGAAACATTCCAGCAACCACTGTTAAATGAACTGCTATTTCACTCAGTCAGTTACATCTTACCTCCTTTAGTTGTTTCTTTTATTTCATTGAAGTGAAATATGTTTTGCTTCTAACATTTTCGGCAGCCTAAAATTAAGCAAAAAAAAGAAAAGAAGAAAGAAGGAGAAGAAATTTAGAAACAGACTTTGACATCCCCCAGGTGAATACAGAATTCACAGGGGTCAGCACAACCGAAGCAATGGCTGAGCTTCACCCTGGGTTTGAACCACCTTCTTGATCATGATATCTCACCTATTTACTGTTCTTTGATTGTTATTGTGGACCTGGTACACCTTGGTCAAGGTTCCGAGCTAGCTGATCTGATACTAAAAGGTGGTGTGACATTACTGCCAACCACTGATTAGTCACACCACAGTTGACGTCCTGCATAAAGCCTAGATTTTTAAAAAGCCAAACTATCATTAATAGTTAAGTTTTTTTTATTCACTTAAAAATGGCAGCCCACAACACCATGCTGTGGTCAACTGACAAAGTCCAGACTTGTCCAGAACATAGCTTCATATCCTCTGTTATGAGTAGCGTAGCTTTTTATGTGCGTAGTGTGTTGTCAGTGTGGCAGTAAATGTACAGTGTAGCTTAGAGTCTGTCAATAAAGAAAGGCTGCAGCTTCTCAAGACCAAAGTAAAGCTTGTTTCCCAACTTCATTGCTCTGACAATCACCTCTGCCTACATTGAGGGGGTCCCATCCAAAGTTCTATCTACAGTGGAAAAGGAAGTCGAGGACCCAAAAGTGAATAGAGTAGAGTTGAGCTGTACAATGCTGATGCATAGAGGAAGAGAAAAAGTGTCTTTTGTCTCATATGTGTCCACTTTAGTTTTTGTTTTATCTCGTGAATAATTTCTCTTCTACCTGTAGATGAGGACAAGTTAGTGAGTAATCCTTTATGTTTTTTATTGTTACTGATAATAACAGGCATTAGGGGGAAACTGTTGCACTGGTCAGGGAGAGAGCAGGTCTGGGAGAGCAGGAGGTGGATGACTTTAGACACATTACTTAAAATATGGCAGAAGGTGATTAATGCTAACACTCACTTTCAGTCATGGTTTTTTGAGAGGGAGATGCTGAGGCGGTGCTTGGAGGCCGGACAGGGACGAGGGTTAGGGTGTAAGTCTCCTCCTCATAGTCCATTTGGGGATGAGAAGTAGATGGGAGAAAGGTGGAAGAGTCTGGAGGATGAGGAGGAGAAGAGGGTTGGGAGGGAGAGGTGGTAGACTGTGGAGTTGGAGATGGGCTGGGAGCTTCTGGCAATTGCATCCTTTGAGAATCTGAAAAAATATAAATATAAATATTACTCACAATGACAGCACATCCCAAAGCATAAATCATAAAAACAGATGTTTGCCTTACTTTTAATAATGTACTCATATGCCCTGCTCATCTTTTCTAAAAAGGGTTTTACAGGCCCGTCCCCTCCAGGGCACATGTAGGTGATCATTTCAGCATTTACTGTGTTCACCCTCTTCTTCTTCTTCCTGATGAACAAAATTGGGTTGTAGCCAAAGGCAGCAAGCTTGCTCACCTGAAATATACACAATAAATTACACAAAATGTTAACATGGCATTATTATGTTACAATTTTTTCACTTTATTTGAATGTTATGTGTGCACCAGTGTTTGCTAATGTCTATAATCTTTTTCAAGGGTTTCTTGAGAGTTTTCTAATGAACTGTAGGTGTGTGTACATATAACATTCTTTCAGACAGAAAAGTGTGGACAGGGTTCTGTGGAGCGCTGGGATGAAGCACTTGTGCATTGAGAGAAACAAATCTATGTTAACAGAGAGTTCACTGTCTCTGTTATTATAGTTTCTGTCTGAAATATCATAAAGCTCAGGAGACAGACATGGCCAAAACAAGTTTTCCCTCCATTTCTTTTTAGTTTAGTTCTTCGGAGGTGCAAACACATGCATTGCACCCTCAGTTTAATATTTTGCACTTTCAGTTCAAATTGCATATTAATGCCAAGCATAAGGTGGTCTGGCACATGGACTGCGTGGGCATCTTCATGCTCACCAGCAGCTCAATCAGCAAAAGAGTTGGAAGAAGATTAATAAAGGTCAGCGGGTGTGGTGATTAATAAATACTCTCCCAGCTTGTCACATCACTGGTCTCATAGCTCTGAAACAACTGAGCTAATCAGTTAAACATGATAGCAACAGCTCAACAAATAGAAATCTTTCCTCTGGAAATGTCTGGATGATTGAGAGAGTCACAACATGAACACACCTCACCACCAATCTGCAGCCAATGACAAATAAAGTATGATTTTCCCAAAAATAGTTAATCTAATAATAGAATTAGAAATATAAAGGAGAGAAACGGATTGATTATATGATTATTTCGGACAAAGACTGTTTTATTTGAAATTCTAATGTATCCCACCTCATACATGGTCACATAGTTTAGTAATTAATGATATACAACTGTGTTTGCACTGCACTGGTCACAGTATTTAGCCATGATTCCTCTGAGGACTGGAGTTTGAGGGTATGGGTGTCCTTCTGACTCGTAAAGCAAACTGTTGTTGAAAATGACTGACACCCTGTTTAACTTACTGCTGTCTACAACTTTATTCGTCTGTGTTCAGCATAATCTGTTTATCTGGGACCCAACTCTGGATCATCATACACTGCTCGACTTTAATAGCTGTTGGCAGCTTGCACTGTAACTACTAGGGTACCACCACTAATTTGAGATGCACCTGAAGTCATTTGGTTCTGGAACCGGGCCTAGCTCTCTCCTCATTGGTGAAAAATGTGCTATTGATCAGAAAAAAATGTTATTTGGACCACAAGCCCATATGTCAATAATGAGCCAACTCATTTTGAATCTTTAGCTATATTTAAGGTTAGGGGTGGCTCATATAATATATAAATATAAGTACAAATTTGAGATACTTTTTCTTTATTAAAGTCTTTTCTTTACATGTTACATACATGTTTTGACGTTGGCTAGTTCATCTGATATACAGTATATCACTATGAAATGTGATTTGCTAAATCATTCAACCTGTGTAAAGTTGGATGTTATACTATATAATTGCATTAAAACTGTTCATGTTATTGAAAACTTGATGCTGAAAATCCCATGTCACTTCCTCTGAATCTCTCCTCTTGCCATATACTGAATTCATGTACTCTGAAAGCATGTGGGAATTGCTCAGATAAAATAAGTCTAACCTAAAACAGTAGTAACATCCAAGGACTCAATCAGAAATGTAGCTTTATTGTGCCTTTGTTTAATTAAACATTAAAGAACAATTATTAATCAAACAGTAAAGATCAACTGGAAAGAAAATCCCTGAAAAGATGCAGAACTGAACATGAATCAAAGATAAGAAGTAAAGGACAGTGGTTTGTGTTGTAAAGATGTAAGACAACATTAACCAGGAACTTCCCACAACCCAGTAGAAAAATCAAACCTTATATAAGTGATGAAACATTTCAAAACCAAATGCAGAAATAACAACAACCTAATACAAAAACTACAACTGTCATCTCCAACTTAATCCTGACAATGAGCACATACGTTAGTCACTTTTAAAGCCACAGGATGTGTGTGACCATGTGTCGCACACGGTGCACTGTGATCACGAGCACCACATCTTCCTGTTTTACATTGCATCTGACTCTGAATCTTCACAGCTAATGTCAAACTCATCTGAACTGTCCATTGTGTCCATTATGTCATCTGCTGATGACAGCACATGCAGGTAGTGTTTTCTTGTATGCTGCTGCAGCTCTCTCATTTCCCACTGCCGTCTGAGGATGAGGCAGGTGTGACCCTTTGTTGCTTTCTCTGTGAGATGTCCTTAAGAAGGGATAAAATATGTCACTCTCCAGGTAAATAACAAGTCTTTCACAATTTAAACATAACTTTGTAAAACATTCGAAATTAAAAAAATTAAGTACAAGGCCGCATTTACTTTGCATGGCGTCTTCACTCTGATGCTGAGACAACTCGGACAAGACCCTGGCAAGGGCTTTGAGAGACTCCCAGTGCTGCTTCATTTCTTTCACAAGGATCTTCTTCTCCTCTTGAAGCCTTTGAACACCCATGACCCTATCGAAGACTTCTTTCTTTGTGCTGAAATCAGCAGAGCCTGTAATACATCAATATGAAAAGTTCAGACCACTGCATATAGCATGTAGCTTCAGAGATCATTTCTGTCATACATATGCACACTTGGTCAGAATGCAAATATGTCCACTGGAACACCTAAATGTAAGAATACTAATGATGAAATGTGTATTCACATACACAGTATACTTTACTGATTATACTGAATATTTTACTTGTGATCAGAGTATTTTTACAGTGTAGTATCAGTATTTTTTACTTTGTAAATAGACTTTATGCTTTTAAGTAAAGGATATGATACTTCTTCCACCACTAAAGAATACGCACAGTACATGAAATGCATACTACTCTGTGTAATTTGCCAATGCCAGGGATGTTCTGTGTTTTCTGTGTGTACTCCGATACCATGGCCTTCAAAGTGGTCTTCTGTTGCCTTATTTTTCTGCGAATTCTATGTCGGCCTTTGTTTCTGAAAACCAAAGAAAAAAAATAAACCCACATTACATCTTTTAAATACACTAAGTCCATGATCTTGTTTAAGTTACAGCTGTAACAACAGAATGACAATGCATTTGCCAAACAGATGGATCATAATAGATGAACGCAAATCAATTTGTTTATCCCCAATCGGGATATTGAGAGCTTTAGATGTCTAAAATGACAAAAGTATTACCATAAGCTAAAAGTCAGTACAACATACACAGTGTACAAATGCAACTCAAATCATGCAAATGTTGTAACTATCATGTATCACAAGCCTATGTGCACAAAACTGTATGTGTGTTTCATTGACCTACACTGTGCCATTGCAGCAATATTGTTTCTATTTACCTTATGGTGTCCCTGGGAAAGTCCAGGAGCCAGGTTTGGACATTTCTGCTGGTTCCATCTTACGGCCAGGAGTGTCAGCATGTCATTGTGTCCTGCAAGTACACAGAGATGAGTTCTGTAAAGATTCACTTGTAGTAACATAAATGTCTTTTATTCTGTATACAGAGGTACAATTATATAGCACCTGCTTTTGACATATGCTTTGTGGTGACTGATATCCTGGAGAGGAAAGCATTACATTGCTCTACTTCCTCCCCTAGTGTTTTACCAGCACCTTCTTGGTTTGTGCCACTCCATTTCACCTGGAGAGAGGGACCCAAACAGAAACATCAAGGGAATTTAGTACAGCAGAGACCTCAAGCAATGCCCAACAGTCACTTTTATTTCAATTAAAGCCTAATCAAAAATCTAACTGTCACCCTTCCACCAAGTTATGTGTACATTAGTGGTAAACCTCATGAGTAATCTTGCTTACAAACAAACATACACAGACAGGTGCAAAATAATATCCTTAACAAAAGTAGATGTGTCAGTTAAAGGCTGTTCACATCAACAACAATAACTATAACAATACAAATGTTAAATAATCTGTTAAGTGATAGTTAAACATTACACATCTATATGCATCATTTATAGGATTGCAAGTCATTTGATAAAATGTACTGAATTATACTAACCTCACATTTGAAGTCATGCGCTTTAGCATGTACAACCGACAGGAAGGACCTCGAGCTCAGGACAGTTGGTGCTTATTCTTTGCAGGTATGACCAATATTTGCCAGCAGCTGCTGCAAAAACATAGGGTATGCAAATATTTCACCCCTAAACATATTAAGGGCAGCCAGCAAGACACCATGCCTGCACACTGCCAGCTCCAGTCCCTCCTCATCCACCTTACTGCTTGATCTTTGGGAGGTCTCTCTGGCAGCTGACCCCTCCCCACCACAATTGCTCCTTCCAGTGACCTACATTGTAGAAAATCATAATTGACAAATAATCTCATCAACAGTCATTACAGGGAACAATTATAAATTTCTCTTAGGGGACAGGGAACAGATAAGTGTTAGCAGATTAACAACAATTAGGTATACAGGTAGATATCACAATACATGGGAGTACTGACAGACTATGAATTATAATGTTATATTGAGATAGAAATTGAAGTCTGCTATTACATGTTTATTTTTGCTGTGGATGTGATCCACAAATCTGGTCACATCGTCATCTAAAAAAACAACAAGAAATAAAAAGGCTTCAATGTTTAAAAGGATAGTTGAGTACTCTGAAGTGGGATGGTATAAGGTACTTATTCATAGTAAGTGTGTTACCTACAGTACACAGTGTTCAGACAGCCCGTTTCCTTGGCACTACATTGTCTCAACTGTAGAACTTGCATATTTCTACATCTAACCCCAACTACAATACTGGATATTGGGTTTTTTTCAGGTGGGCCTTTTATATGTGGCTAAAACACATTTTTCTGCTTCTCCACAATACATGCAGGGGATGGGTGGCGGTGACCATTGTCTGCTGTAGGTAACAGACTGACCATGGATAAGTACCTCATACAACCCCACTTCAAAACACCTTAATACACCTTAACACCTTATCTTTTTAACATGTCATACATCGAAAGGTTACTTGTTGTATAAAACATAACTATCTATTTTGCCATTTAAACAGTGTGGGTGTACATTATTGTATACCTTGCAGTACTTTTGAAGCGGTAATGCTTGCGGTTTCCATCCACCGAGACAGAAAGCATTGCTGGGGTACAGGCAGGACAGATGAATTTCTCCTCCTTGCAGGTGGAGTCAACCTCATATTGTACAGCAGCCCATTCAAAAAACCTTTTTTGGAAGCTGTCTGATGAGATCTTCCCAGTCTATGTAAAAAAGAAAAAGCACAAAACATTTTTTTAAACAAAGACCTTTCCATTTCAAGACGCAAACATATTCATGATCTTGCAGAATGAAAAAAGAAATACTTACACGGCCAAAGCGAGCAGTCCGCTTCTCAAGCATTCTTAGATATGCCTGAAAAGACATCCCGGGTGATTCCATCTTCATGTCTTCAAACGTATAAAACAGGTCCGTCTCATAAATTGTTACAAAATGAAGGGTGGCAGGCCAGTATCCAGTTTTTATCAGGTCATCAAGTCCTGCAGTCCAAGTTGCCTGGCATCCCTCGCAGGTCAGCTCAGGCATGTTGAGATCATACCGTCCTACAAGTTAATATTTACATTTACAACCAAGGTTGGAATGTTATGTAGCATGTGCCTTATACTGTATATCCAAGTGGTTCAGTAAGGCCTGCTGACTGGATGGGCACTATCATGAATAAGTCATTTGTAAATGGCATGAATAAATAAGTGACATTCCCCCCCAAAAGGTTTGCAACCATAATGAGCTCATTTTTTGAGACATTAAGTTGTTGGGAGTTGTTGAATAGAAATACATAGTTTTGTTGAAACTGGACGAAGGAAATCTTTTGCATGATTACCATTTATTGTGACCAAAGCAACTGCCTTCCCTTGGATCACCCTGAGTGCTTCTGGGGGACACCTACAGATGCAGACATACATCTCAATAGGCAAAAATCGCACTGAAAGACATTACACATAGGTTACACTAATTCATAATTACTGACACAGACAGAAACTAGCTCAGAAAAAAGCAATGTGTAACTTACCACAGTTTGTAAGTGCCTTTTCAACAACACAGTTGGTTGGAGGCAATGGCTGAAAGAAGCCAGCACACATGGCATCCCTGTTATGGAGGACTGAGGCCTTGCTGTGTCTGCTGATGTCACATTCAGCGCAGAAGAAGGGACGTGGAAGGCAATCTCTGCATCTAATAGCTGCGCAGTTGTTCCCACATTGGCTGCAGCCATTTGTTGCCACGCTCTCCTTGGCCAGCATGCTATTAAGAAGATATGGTCTCTTTTCCCTCCATCTCTCAGAAAAGAGAGCATTGCGAATGCTCCAATCCAGAGAAGCCAGAGGAGCTCTTTGGTCTGCTGATGCTTCACTAAGCTCTTCATCAGAGCAGCTCAGGGAGGGTTGCAGATCTTGCAAAAGACATTCTATTGCAATTGTAAAAGAAATACATGGAGTAGTTAGAAGGGGCCCAAGGTTGTTTTTGTATCATATGCACACATGCAAAAAACATGGACTTCATTGTTACATAGATAAGAAGAAAATATTGTTATATGACAGATATAACATATATAACAATGTGAATGGTGCTTGGCAATTGCATATCAACAGGGAGAAACGTTGTCATAAAGCTTGTTTTGGAGACTTTGTTTTGTTCAATAGCTCATTTTGCAGTTACTAGGTACAAGACATTATACACAGAACATATCTAATGAAACACATACCAGCAGAATATATGTGTGAAGCAGTCTCTGGAGCAAAGGTCCCCTCTACATGAGGGTGTGAGGTGAGACCGGTCTTACAACGGCGTTCAGCTGTAATGCAGAAAAAACAAACACCTCTTAAAGCAGCATATATTTGTCTAACACTTACATTTGTTTTAAAAATACCTGTATGCGATCTACATTTATACTATACAGTACAGTTTTCCTATTTCATTTTTTTGGGGGGGGGCGTGGGTCTTCTTTTGGAAAAGAGGCTCCAAGACCACCTACATAAAAAATGTCAAGTAATTCATGTTAGCCAAATCATGCTTACAGCAAAAAGTATTTCTTTATTTTTCAGGATCTGAGATCTATCAGAGATGACACATTGATCTGACCTGGTGTTATTTAGCTTAAAACTTTGATAAATAACATTTTGGTGTACTTTACATATTTATGGGCAACTGATGGTACTGTAGTCCATTGACAGTGTTGCATGTTATCCCTGCCACTGGCCTACACTGACATTCAGGACTGAAACCATTTTAAATATCTAGAATATAAAATACTAACCATGTCTGGATTGCTTCCACGTGACTCCTGGCCTCATGGAAAGCCCTTCAGTGGTGGTTCAGGAGCTGCTGCTGCCCCTGTCTGAACCCCTGTCTGAACCCCTATCTGAACCCCTGTCTGAACCCCTGTCTGAACCCCTATCTGAACCCCTGTCTGAACCCCTATCTGAACCTCTGTCTGAACCCCCTCAAGGAAATGTGGCGTTCTTCTTGCGAAGTCATCCCCACACACAGACACACTCACAATCTCTTGTTGCTAACTTGACAAATTCTAATGCCAAAAATATCTTAAAATGTTGTTTTTCCACTGAAAATAAAAGAAAATGCAGCCATTTTGAATTTTTCCACAAAAAATCTGACATTCACGTGACTGCTCTGCTCGATAACACACCTTCTGTACCTACTGGGCTTGAATAGTATTGGATCAGCCAGATGAATGGGTGATAACTGCCTCCTGCACCTACTAGTAGGTGGAGTAGGCCCCTACTGGCCCATATCTGTGGGATGATTTTATCAGGATAACACTTATTCAATGGTATGACAACAGTCAAATTGGGTGCCTTAAGAGCAGAAAAAAAATAATTATATGAGAGGTTTTAAAAAAACTGAAGCGGCACCAAAAAATGTTAAACTTAAAATGTTGGATGGATGAGAAACACGGAGACTTTATTAATCTAATTAATTCATTAATATACAAAGCAAAGGTTTTGCCTGAGGATGGCACTGGAGGAAAAGTCTTTTTTCAATTCAAAGGGGTTTTTGAATGTCAGCCTTCCAAACTATTTGGCCTGAAGGTGACAGTAGACGACAAGTAAGACAATGACCAAAATATACTGCACAGCAGTGCAGAATATTCAGCCTTCTTGGAGACCCTGAATGAAGTCCTGTATAAGGCTCCAGTAGGGGACTCCATCGTTCTCCTGGGACACTTCAACGCACATGTGGGCAATGATGGAGATACTTGGAGGGGCGTGATTGGGAGGAACGGCCTCCCCGATTTAAACCAGAGTGGTGTTTTGTTGCTGGACTTCTGTTCTAGTCATGGATTGACCATAACGAACACCATGTTCGTACATAGGGATGCTCATGAGTGTAAGTGGTACCAGAGCACCCTAGGCCAAAGGTCTATGATCGATTTTGTGATCGTATCATCAGACCTGAGGCCGCATGTATTGGACACTCGGGTAAAGAGAGGGGCGGAGCTGTCAACTGATCACCATCTGGTGGTGAGTTGGGTTAGGTGGCGGGGGAAGCCACTGGACAGACCTGGTAAACCCAAACGTGTAGTATGGGTGAACTGGGAACGTCTGGAGGAGGCCCCTGTCCAAGAGACCTTCAACTCCCACCTCCGGCGGAGCTTCTCCTACATTCCTGTGGAGGCGGGGGACATCGAACCGGAGTGGTTGATGTTCAAAGCTTCTATTGCTGAAGCTGCGGCTGTGAGCTGTGGTCTTAAGGTCTTGGGTGCCTCAAGGGGCAGTAACCCTCGAACACGGTGGTGGACACCGGTGGTCAGGGAAGCCGTCTGACTGAAGTCGGAGGCCTTCCGGGATATGTTATCCTGGGGGACTCCCGAGGCTGTTGCAGGGTACCGGCAGGCCCGAAGGACTGCAGCCGCAGTTGTGAGGGAAGCAAAACAGTGGGTGTGGGAGGAGTTTGGAGAAGTCAGGGAAAAGGACTTGCAGACGGCACCCAGGCGCTTCTGGAAAACCTTCCGACACCTCAGGAGGGGGAAGCAGGGTACCATTCAAGCTGTGTACAGCGGGGATGGGACACTGCTGACCTCAACTGAGGAGGTAATTGGGCGATGAAAGGAACACTTTGGGGAACTCCTGAACCCGACTAGACCAACAAACCCGCCCTCTGTGATAGAGGCAGGGCTGGAGTGTGATAGGGGATCTACATCAATTTCCCTGCGGGAAGTCACTGAGGTAGTAAAACGACTCCACAGTGGCAAAGCCCCGGGGGATTGATGAGATTCGTCCAGAAGGGGCTGTCTTGGTTGACACGCCTTTTCAACATCACGTGGAAGGCAGGGACAGCGCCGAAGGAGTGGAGGACTGGGGTGGTGGTTCCCCTATTTAAAAAGGGGGACCAGAGGGTGTGTGTAAATTACAGAGGCATCACACTACTCAGCCTCCCTGGCAAAGTTTACTCTAAGGTGCTGGAAAGGAGGGTCCGGACAATTGTCGAACCTCTGATTGAAGAAGAACAGTGCGGGTTCCGTTCTGGTCGTGGAACAACAGACCAACTATTTACTCTCTCAGGTGTCCTGGAAGGGGCCTGGGAGTATGCCCATCCGGTCTACAGGTACTACTCGGAAAATTAGAATATCGTGTAAAAGTTATTTTATTCAGGCAATTCAACATAAAAGGTGAAACCAATACATTCTATAGACTCATTACATGCAAAGTGAGATATCTCAAGCATTTCTTTGTTGTAATTTTGCTGATTATGATTTACAGCTTATTAAAACCTCAAAACCAAAAACTCAGAAAATTAGAATACTGTGAAAAGCTTCATTATTGTAGGCTCAAAGTGTCACACACTAATCAGGTAAGTAATCCAAAACACCTGCAAAAGGGTCCTGAGCCTTTAAAAAGTCTGTTTGGTGTGTCTTGTTCGGTTTAGAAGAATTCACAATCATGGGGAAGACTGCTGATCTCACAGTTGTGCAGAAAACCATCATTGATTCCCTGCACAAGGTGGGTAAGACACAAAAAGTCATAGCAAAAGAAGCTGGGTGTTCTCAGAGTGCTGTCTCAAAGCACATTAATGGACAGTTAAGTGGAAGGCAGAAGTGTGGAAGAAAACGGTGTACAAGCCAGAGGGATGACCGCAGCCTGGAGAAGATGGTCAGGAAAGGGCCATTCAAAAGTGTGGGGGAACTTCATAAGGAGTGGACTCAGGCTGGAGTTGCTGCTTCAAGAGAAATGTCGAATTCCTGTTGTCAAGCCGCTCCTCACGAGCAAGCAACGCCAGAGGCGCCTTAGCTGGGCTAGAGAGAAGAAAGACTGGACTGTTGGCCAGTGGTCCAAAGTCCTCTTTTCTGATGAGAGCAAGTTTTGCATCTCATTTGGCAACAAAGGTCCCAGAGTCTGGAGGAAGACCGGAGAGGCACAAAATGGAAGATGCATGAAGTCCAGTGTTAAGTTTCCCCAGTCTGTGATGACTTGGGGATCCATGTCAGCTGCTGGTGTTGGTCCTCTGTGCTTTATCAAGTCCAGCATAAACGCAGCTGTCTACCAGGACATTTTAGAGCACTTCATGCTTGCTTCAGTGGACCAGCTTTATGGGGATGCGGACTTCATCTTCCAGCAGGACTTGGCACCTGCCCACACTGCCAAAAGTACAAAATCCTGGTTCAACAACCATGGGATTACGGTGCTTGACTGGCCCGCAAACTCACCTGACCTGAACCCCATAGAAAATCTGTGGGGCATTGCCAAGAGAAAGCTGAACGGGAAGAGACCAAACAATAAAGAAGAGCTCAAGGCCACGATTGAAGCATGTTGGTCTTCCATAACACCTGAGATATGCCACAAGATGGTAGCATCCATGCCACGCTGGATTAAGGCAGTCATTCGTGCAAAAGGGGCCCCAACCAAGTACTAAGTACAGATGCAAGATTTTACATTCAGAGGCCTGACATTTTTGTATTTAAAATCCTTTTTTTTTTGTTATTGATTCCAAGCAGTATTCTAATTTTCTAAGTTTTTGAATTGGAGGTTTTCTGAAGCTGCAAGTCCTAATCAGCAAAATCAAAACAAATAAAATCTTGAAATATATTGATTTGCATACTATTTGTCTATATAATATGTAAATTTCACCTTTAAAGTTGAGTTACAGAAATACATGCACTTTTTCAGGATATTCTAATTTTCCAAGTAGTACCTGTACATGTGCTTTGTGGATTTGGAGAAAACATATGACCAGGTTCCCCAGGATATCCTGTGGGAAGTGCTGCGGGAGTATGGGGTTAGGGGGCCACTTCTCAGGGCCATCCAAGCCCTGTATTTCCAAAGCGAGAGTTGTGACCGGATTCTTGGTCGTAAGTCGGACTCGTTTCTCGTAAGTCGGACACGTGGATTGTCTACTCCGGCTAGGGAGTGAGTCCTTACCCCAAGTGAAGGAGTTCAAGTACCTCGGGATTTTGTACACGAGTGAGGGTAGAATGGAGCAGGAGACTGGCCGGAGAATCGGGGCAGCAGGGGCGGTATTGCGGCCCCTGTATCGCACTGATGTCACGAAAAGAGAGTTAAGCCGAAAGGCGAAACTCTCCATCTACCGGTCGATCTTTGTTCCTACCCTCACCTATGGTCATGAGAGATTGGTCGTGACCGAAAGAACGAGATCCCGGGTACAAGCAGCCGAAATGGGTTTCCTCAGAAGGGTGGCCAGCGTCTCCCTTAGGGATAGGGTGAGAAGCTTGGACATCCGCGAGGGACTTGGAGTAGAGCCGCTTCTCCTTTGCGTCGAAAGGAGCCAGCTTAGATGGTTCGGGCATCTGATGAGGATGCCTCCAGGCCGCCTCCCGAAGGAGGTGTTCCTGGCACGTCCAGCGGGGAGGAGGCCACGGGTCAGACCGAGGACCAGGTGGAGAGATTATATCTCAACACTGGCCTGGGAACGCCTCGGGATCCCCCAGTCAGAGTTGGCCGACGTGGCCAGGGAAAGCTCATTGTAACATTTAATAATAAAACTTTCTACCCAAGTAGAAAGTAAAGTTACTCAGAATTCAATTCAATTCAATTCAATTCAATTTTATTTGTATAGCGCCAATTCATAACAAAAGTTATCTCAGGACACTTTTCAAGAAAGAGAGAGAGAGAGAGAGAGAGAGACAGACAGACAGACAGACAGACAGACAAGTGCACAGCAACAACAGAATGTGTCAGTGATGTTAATCTAGCACCAGTTAGTCATAAACAGAAAGAAACTCACAGTAGGAACAGGGAGAGATCTGGATGTGCTGCTTCTTTGCTGCTTCCAAACAAAAGTGCTGAAGAAAATATTTCAGTCAGATATGTGAGAGATCCCGTCCAGAGGAAATGAAAAGCAGATGAAACAATTGTTTTGGGATATGACACAGAAAGGAGAACCAGAGCCTCCCTCTGCTTCAGGATGTAGAGCTTATTGACAAAACTACTGTTAATAGTTTCCAAATAACTCAAAAAATTCAGTCTTTCTGAGCATCTGAATAGACTGAAAGTGCGATAAGAAAGCAACTTTAGAACAGAGAACCTGTGTGGGTTCATACCACTGGGTGTTAAACTGCCAGTGAATTAGTAATGAACAAGAGCTCACTTTAGAAGAGGGGACATATTCTGAGTAAGAGACTTAATTCAGAGTTATTTTGACACAGTTAACACTTGTAGATTTGTGTCCATATTTATTAATGAGTATTCTTGTGGTACTTCTACATTGTAAGGCCCATACTGAGCAAAGCATATTAAAATTCTAATTTATCTACAACAACATCTTAATTTACTATCAGTAATCAGCAATTAGGAGGCAAAACTCTTAGTTACTGGTTTTGTATGGTAATGCAGAATAAGGCATTAATAAGCGCTTTATAATGACCAATAAAGAGTAAATATACTAATAATATTTATGCTAATAAGCAACTTGTTAATGGTGATATGTGTACCTTTGAATATATAGTTACCAAGAGTTGAGAAACATTATTCTGATTCAACCACAGCAGCAGATTAATGAGCTTTTCTGTGATTCTAAAAAGTAGTACAATACTTTAAAGCTTTAGAGCTGATTTTAGAATGAAATTCAGTTTGTTATGAACTCCACTAGAGGGCGTCCTCAGATGTCACTTATTCTCTACAAACTAGTAGCACTGGTTTAGTGTTCATATCAGCTGCTCCAACACAAACCTTCAATAACACTACATTATCTTACACTACCAACTATCTCAGAGGTGATGGGCTATTGGAGCTCATCAGCTGATGCTGTTTTTAATCACATGATTTGGTGCTCATTAGAAACACCATCAGCTGTTTTTCAGCTTTGATATTAATCAAAAAGAAATTTAGACAGAATAAAAACTTTGTTAGGTTTATTTAAAAAGAAATAGTGAGAAGTTTTTATTCATAAAAGGGCTCTTTTTATAATTAATAAGTAATTTGTGCCAATATGCAACTTATATATACAAAGATCAGACAATAAAAAGGTTTGAATTTGGCACCCAAACAATTAAAGAACAGGAAATGCTTCTTATTCCTGAATACCATTGTTTTCTAATATTTTAACATCTTGAAAGCAGGTAATGCAGTTATTAAACTAAATTAGACTACTATATATAATAATAATAATAATAATAATAATAATAATAATAATAATAATATCAATCAGTGTAGTAAAGCTGGGTACTATACACCATAGATCACCAATAAATATATATTTATTACATTAAATGGTCTGAATCTTTCTGTAGAAAATCAAATGTTTGTTCTACTCAGTGTGATTGACAGGTGAGATGATCAGTGGGGCAGAGTTTTTACCACCATTATAAGAACCAGGACCAATTTGTGGGTAGAGTTTCTCAGTGAAGGAGCAGCCAGTAAAGGAGTAGATAAGAGCTGCAGCATCAACGTCATAAAAGGAGACCAGACCCTCCTCATAATCCACAAACACCCCCACCTTCTCAGGCTGAGACTTCAGAGAGAGACTGACTGAAGGGCTAGCAAGAGCTTCGTACTCATTTTCATTCCTCAACCATATCGTCCAGTAACCATTCTGAGGGCTTGTTTGGATCATTCCCTTCCTGTTGATCGACTCTCTGGCCACTCCTAAAATCCAGCCAGTCTTCCCTTTAACCTGAACCTCGTAATAAAGTTTTCCTGAAGAGAAACTCTGCTTTGCTAAGAGACGGACACAATAATCAAATCTCTCTGGATTGTCTGGGAGATTCTTCCTTACACGACCATTTTTAACTTGTTTTCCATCATCAGACAGGCTGAGAGCAGGATGAGCTGTATCAGGATCTAGTGTCACATCCACTGCATACTGCTGGACCCTCTTCAGCTCGATTTCAGTCAGCTTCTTCATCTGTTTACTGAGCGTCTCCTCCAGCTGATTCACAGCTCTCCTCGCAGTCCCCTCATATGAAGGTGGACGGCTGCTGACTTCCGTCCAGTCTTTGGTGGTTGGAGCAGCGTTCAGGGACAACAAGCTTTGGAGGAGGTGGAGGTGGTCTTCAGACTGTAAGAGCTGGTCCACCTCAGAGCTTCTCTTCTTCAGCTCAGAGATTTCCTGTTCCAGCTCTTTGATGAAGCCTTCAGCCTGTTTCTCTGTCTTTCTCTGCTTCTCTTTGATCGTGTCGATGAGTTCAGCCTGGCTTCTCTCAACATACTCCTTCAGAGCGGTAAAGACCTGAACACCATCTGCTATCTCTCTGTCTGCACCTTCCTTACTGAGCTCCACTGAGCGTTTGATCTCCTGAATCTTCAGTCGTCTCTTGTGGATCATCTGCTGAATTTCAATCTTCTTTCCTTCATATTCTTCTTTCAGAGGAACAACATCATGGTTTTTGTGGTCTGAAACAGTGCAGAGCACACAGACACACATCTGGTCAGTCTTACAGAACAGCTCCAGCAGTTTATCGTGCTTCGTACACGTCATGCCTTCCAGGTTCTCCACAGGGTTGATCAGCTGATGTCTTTGCAGACGTGAAGCTGTCAGATGAGGCTCCAGGTGAGTCTCACAGTAGGAGGCCAGACACACCAGGCAGGACTTCAGGGCCTTCAGTTTGGTTCCAGTGCAGACATCACAGGGAACTTCTCCTGGTTTGGAAACTTGTTGCTCTGAGCTGCTGCTGCTGGCTTTCTGTTGAGCTGACTGTCTGAACTGAGCAACCATCTCAGAGATTAAAGTATTGACCTGCAGCTCAGTTCTGTTAAAAACCTTGTTACAGTTGGGACACTGACACTGGACATTAATATTCCAGTGTTCAGTGATGCAGGTTTTACAGAAGTTGTGTCCACATGGTATGGTGACTGGATCAGTGAACACATCCAGACAGATGGAGCACAGAAACTGATCTTCAGTCAGCAGACAGCTGGCAGCAGACATATCTACACTGTGAGGATAAAATGTGTAAATAACAAAAGTGTAATTAGATTTATTTTCATTTTTTGTTCAATAAAACCAAACTATGAATGGTGGAACTCAAGGAGAATCATGTTGAGTTCTGTTGTTATGTTGAAACTGAGACAGCTCATTACACAGTCAGGTCCTGGACTATGCTGCAAGTGAAGGAGAGCTCAGATGTTCAGTTCAGTGGTGGCATTTCCAAAATATTAACTTTGGCTGCCTGAAGAAAAACAACCTTTTCTCTACATATTAATCAAAAATATGATTACAATTTTGAATAAATCTAATTATTCATACATTAGCAAACATTCTACACATGTTTATGGGAAACAAACAGGAGACATTGATGTAAATGTGGTCAAACTCACACTTAAATGTTGCAACCTGCAGTGATTTTGATTGATTTATTATTTTAATGAACACAAACCAAAACTCCACATCCACTATTTGTTTATTATCTATCTACTTATCTCATCAAACATGACTAAATAAAATACTGATAAACAAATCTGATGTCTTAAGCACTGCAGTGATACCTCAGGTAAATATTGGCCCTGGCTACGGCCCTGAGTGGAACTTCCTGTCTGAGTGGAGCTCAGGTTTTGTGTTAATACCGGTTGTTGAAACACAGTAAATATTATCAGCTGTACTGCCTCCCAGAGACAGACAGCAGGAAGCTAGAAGCTGTAAAACGTCAGTTTTATTCCTTTATAAGCAATAACAGAGGTTGTCAGATGATCACATACTGTACTCTGTACTTTGGATCTAAAGGACAGCTAATAGGCCAGTTAGCTTTTAGCAGGACTAGTTTCTGTGGTGTGTTTTCATTGTTTGGTTGGATTTAGCTCCTTCCTTCTATCTGTATGTGCTATAACAGACTGTAACAAGCTCTGTAGGGCAGTGGACTCACCAGAGGTTGGCAGAGATTCTGCTGTTTAGTTGAGAAAAACCTGATGGATTCAGTTGAATTTGTCTTCAGAGACAAACAGAGAGACTTGTCTCCACTGCAGCTCTGCTGTCTTCAGACAAACTTTCACTTTCATTTCCAGGAAATGTGTCACTGAAGTTAACCACGCCCCTTCATTTGCATATGACCTCATCATAAAAACAGCTGGAAATGATTTGAAATAAAAGTCCCCTGAAATAAATAAAAGTATTTATATGAATTTAAATAACTTATATAAATAAAAACCTATGCATTTATTTACTTATTTATTTAATTATATTGACACATCTAGAAATACATATTTACATGTATTTATATAACAGGCATATTATGTATTTATTTATTTAATAATGACTAAAATGGGATTCCTTACCAGCAGTTAAATAAAGAGTCTTTAAATGTGCGTATTTTGACCAGATATCTGCAAATTGACTCACAGACACAGTTATTCATTTTTCATTGTTGGAGGATTTTACCAGTTCAGAACTTGAGACTTGAATAGTTTTACTTACTTTACAAACTAACACGTGTTCAAACATGTGAAAATCCTGTCAGACTGGCAGAGAGTCAGAGCTGAGTGGGTCAGATATTAGTTATTGATCAGCTATATGTGTTGGAAAGGCCGCCAGTGACACCTAGTGGACTAAAATGGGAGTTGCACAGAAACAGTGTGTGCTTTCGGGGAACCCTGAATCTCCTACCAGAGGGTGAGAGCTGGAACTCTGGACTGCTCATAAATAGTTTGAAGGGACAAGTATTTTTTAACCTGGTATCTTCTAATGCTCTTATAATGTTGCTGTTGCAATTTAGAGCAGAGACTGTCAACATGGGCCCCCCTGCACAGTGTGTTATCAGTGTGGACCCTGAGATACTTACATGAGCAGAGTGATGGTTTTATTGTGTATGACCACCAGCCTCAGATCACCCACTGCCTTCAGATCAAACACCATCTCCTCAGTCTGTTTTACATTCAAGACAAGATGTTTAGTATTGTACCACCACACAAGTCTCTCTATTCCAGAGTGGTTCAGACTGCTGTCTCTGTGCTTTGGTCCCAGGATGGCTGTATCGTCTGAGGACTTAGTGTAAAAAGCATCAGGGAACTGACACAACCCTTAGAGGGCATCGTGTTCAACATGTGAACATATTTATTCATTGTTCTAACATTTATTCCATTCAGTTTTACAGACAACCCGCCTCTCCAGCTGCAGCCAATCAGGCACCAGGAAGCACACATCCTATTCACATACAGAGAACACCGTGAGAAAGGTTAACACATGGGGTCTGCAGCTGTAACATGTTCACAAACTATAACTATGTAAAATATCAAGAAATGGCACAGGCACATAACATGTTTTTTTATTGATAGCTTTTTTGTATTATGTTGTCCATTGTGTAATCATTGATTGGATTGATTGATTTTGTACGAACTCTGTCATTCTGGAGACTTTCTGTTCAGGCCTGTGTGTGAACTTATTAATGGACAAAAGTGTTCAACCAAATAAAAAAACTGTATTATTTGTGTTAAAGAATATGTGTATAACGTAGATATTGGGGCAAAGCTTGTCTTCATTAAAGTTAATGAATGTGAGATTATCAGGTTAATGTCTGTAAACCAAAACTCACTTATAAAACCTGAATTTAACATGAACCTTATTAATATAATACAAATATGAAAGCAGAAACCACAGAAACAGGTGTCGGATTGCACCTGTTCTCACATGTCTCGCTGATGACACCACCTGGCCTCTCTCTCTCTCTCTCTCTCTCTCTCTCTCTCTCTCTCTCTCTCTCTCTCTATCTCTCTCTATCTCTGGATGTATCTGTCTGTGGATGTCAGGATGGGAAGCGGAGCGTCTGTCAGTGAAGGATCCCGGCCGGAGAGGCTGGAAGCCGGGGAGGCTGAACCCGAACCCACCTGGTCCTCCACACCTGTGGGGCGGAGCAACGCCACCCTGCAGGTAAATGTTTATTTCATTCACTGGATCAGTCTGTAAATCATTGAATGGACGGTTGGTTTCTGCTACTATGTACTACTGTTCCATTAAACTTAAGATAATGAACACTTCTACTTTTGACACTTAAATTTTAGAATTAAAGCAGCAACAACAAACTTTACGTCTTGTGTTGATTCTGGCGACCCCTGTGGACAAAAGTGGAAGTGTGTCTTCTGCCTCGTTTCATTGATTTCAAGGGGAATTTGACTAAATCCCACCGGAAAAAAAATTATTTTAATGCATGACATTTTCCTTGTAACAGACTGTATTTCTACATTGTGATATTAGTGCTTTTACTTAAAGGTCCAGGAGGATCTATTGTCAGCAATTGAATCTAATATTCATTGGTATGTTTTTTATTAGTGTAAAATCACCTGAAAATAAGAATTGTTGTGTTGTGTGCGTTTGTGTGTGAACTCTGTTTTTTTCATTAATTGGGTGCTTGATAATTGAATACTAGTAACTGAAAGTATGGAAATTATTATGTTTTTCAATTTGAGCTTTAACAATGTTACAACTGGACGAGCCCCCAATTTCTTACCAACTGAAATTTACTAAAGGATTTATTAATAATAATCATAATCATAATAAAAAGGAGGGTCACAACAATATTTGAAATACAGATTGTGTCTCTTTTTAAAAACAAACATTTTCTAAAGAAGAAAAGTTAATTATAAATCATTATTATAAGTTTATTTAAAACTTTAAAGGTTAAGTATTTTGGAAACAGTGATAGTAACAAGAATGTGTTCATGTATTTTGTTACTAAAGATAAATTATTAAACGTCAACATGTGTTTTTCAATTGAATTTTATTTGTTAAAATGTGAACTGTGTTAATGCTAACTAATAATTCAATGTAGCTTTGAAGCAATACGCAGCATAATAAAGTTGGTAAAAAGGGATAAAAAAACCTATTTTTCATTTGATGCAACTTCATTCATTTAAGTTGACATTTTGTTTAAGTCTGACAGACTTTACATGTTTGTCAATGTAATTTGGTAAAGTTGGTTGAACTCATTTGGCTTTTCGTGTTGGCTCTACTCAAATTTCTCAAAAGTCTTACTTACTGCTATATATTATAAAATTTTCCCAACTCAAAATACCAAGAACTTCACAAAAGTAACAAAAATGGATGGAAAATGTTGCTTGTTTTTCGAGTTACATATAAGTAACACTTAATGTTCAAACCTAAAAATAAAAATAAACGCTTCAATTAAAGGCATTCCCATCGTATGTTGGAAATGTATCAGACTAAAAGTCATATGTTTTATTTAGGAAATTCACAGATTAAAAGTTGACAGAAATATAAAAACTCAAGTAAAGCACCAACAGATTCAGTATTATTAGTTTGTTACGTTACTCCACAGCTAAAATGATCTTTCTGGGATGTTTTCAGGCAGACGAGAACGCGGCGAAGCCTGAAAGTCACACTGTGGATATTCAGTCTCTAAAGAGTAAAGGGAGCAACGTACAGACAAAGGAGATAGAAGAAGGAGAAGAGGAAGAAGGAGAAGAAAAAGAAGAAACAGCACAAACTGTTCTGACTCCAGCTCCTGTTACTGTGAGCAGCTTTTTAAAATATTCACTCAAACATCAATAATGTATAATTACTGATCATATTACAGTTAATATATCAAACAATCATTTTCACAAAAATGTTAAATTTACAGTAATCTATTTAATACAGATTTACAAAAAAACTATTAAAAATATGTCATAAATAGTGTAGTTACTTTTTTCGCTTTTCAAAAGTAATACTATTACTTTAGTTATTACTCCCTGCCAACAGTAGTTACACTAGTTATATTACTTTTCTGCTACTCCCCACACAATTAGTAAAAAACTGCTGCCCCTTCTCCCTAAAATTCTGACTGATGACGATTAAAATCCAGTTTTGTTTATTAAAATAAAAAGTAATGGAGTATTTCCAGCTGCTGAACGATATAGTTTCCATCTTGCAAACTAGTTTCCTCCATAATTACAAAAATGAATCCAATGATAGGATGTGATCAGTAGGAGGAGACAACAAATGTAATGTTGTAACTAATTATTTTTGGGGGAGTAACTGTAATATTATTACTGAAATTCATTAGTAATTAGCTACACTACTGCTTAATGGGGAAAGTAATATTATTAATGAGTTCCTGCCAAACACAGGTCATAAATGGTTAAAAATAAACGAAACATGAAGAATAGTTGGCAATATGTTTTAAATATACAATTGGTTTGCATGTTTCAACAGCAGCTGTATATTTTAGTGGTCATTTAAATAAAGAAACTCAGATAATTGTAGTTGTAGTTACACCACTGTCTGTGCTGTACACTGCGTCGCCAGGAGGCCGAAGGGGAAGAAGTGTCTCTGGATTTTGAGAGTTTCCTCCACAACAACGGGACGCTCTACAGCTGCTTCCACCATCACGGTGACAGAGTTTATGTCGACGAGTCTCAGGTAGGAACTTTTGATCCAGAAATAAAAACACATCCATAAACAATACATTATTTATTATTATCTGTCTTTACCAGAACCTGCAGCCATTTCCAAAGGAGTGGTACAGTCAGGGACGCTTCATCACCGCCAACAATGAGGTCAGTGAATTAAATTAATCTTTCCCTCCAAACTACAAATTCAGCTGCAGCTGCACCAACGTGAGAAAAACCATGGCCTGTATTTCGTCCCTCAGGGCTCCGGTCAGTTGCAGACTCCAGCCAGCAGTGAGCCGGCGGTCAGGGAGGACGATCGCACCGGCAGCATCTACATCCAAGGCAAAGGAACCGTCATGACCTACATGTTTGAGGTGAGACAGGACCTGGTGTCGTAATATCAAAAATGTAGTTCAGCATCTTCTGTTGTTTCAGATGCAGATCAACTTTATTATCCCACACGGGGAAATTCATTTGGTCCAATGCTCGAGACACCATAACATACACAGTAGGACAATATCATATGTGACCTGTTGTCCTTGACACATCTGGAGGCTCAATATACAAATTGGTATGGGTCTAGCAGGGGTGAGACATAAGAGAGAAGGTGTTTTTTAAATAGCTATGTGGAGGAGGTCATTCTTTTCTTTTTCTGTGTTGTTTTTGGGACAAACAGCAACCATACGTCTGGGATTACCTCACTGTTCACTGACACCTGGAACCGTCGCTTGAGTTGCTATTCAGTATTTCTATGTCCTGATGTTTTCCAGGAGCGGGTGAATATCTGCAGGTTCTGGGATCCTCAGTCGGGGGTCTGGCTGCTGCTGCCACTGCAGTGGGAAGTAAACGTTGAGTTCGTCAAAGCTCGAGTCCAAAGAGTCATGGTGAGGAAGACTGATGCTGCCCTGTGGGTTTTTCCTTGACATCTTACTCAATCTTATACGAACCTTCTCACAGGAGTATCAATTACATCTAAAGGCTAATTGGTATCATTGGTTACACCTGTGTCTATCCTATTTCATGTCAAAATGGCTGATGTGAAAGGGGTCTATCGGAGTGGTTATTTCCAATTACGTTACATTACAAACAGCAAGCTGTCAATGTACCCTCAACAAAGGCACTGAATGCCAAGCCATCCCCGTTTGTACTGGCCAGCTCCCAGTGAGATGACGCATATACATTTAAAGTGAAGTATAAGTTGGTGTATTTTGTGAGTGTGTTTGTTTTTGTTGTTATAGTCCACTCTGCCAGGTCTGGTGGACCAGAAGGAGATCACTGCAGCACTCAGACAGTGCAACTATGACCCTGAAGAGGTCATCTCGGTCTACCTCACCATGTTTGGAGAAATCCTTCTGCAGGCGTCTCCAGGCGGCGATCACAACTACACCGACCTCAACTCCTTCAGGTCTGCAACAAACACAAGAGGCAGTCCCTCCAGGGAGTTGGGATCACAACAGTTAACGTAAATTCAACCAATCGCAACCAGTCTAATTCAGCGCAACTTGCAATTGTGTCCAATTACCAGAAAATTGACCAACATTTTCTGGCTCTGGCACAGGAACAAAGCCTAGAAAGCTTGGTCAGTTGTTTGTCCAACCATGCAAATACCTTCCAAGGAGCACAACGCCAACTGAATTTGGCTTGTGATTTAGAGGTCTGATTCATTATGAGATGTCTATCTTAAAGCAGCAGCTATACCTAAAGTAGGAGTTGTTCCATTAAACTCAGACATCTCTCTTTAACCCAGCAGAGCCCTCCTGGAGCGGGACCGGGTCATAGAGGATCTGAGGCAGAAACTCCAGACCAAAGAAAAGGAGGTGGACGATCTCTTCCAGAAGAACAGCTACCTTGCGAGGGAAGTACGATACCTTAGTGAAGTCATCCAGCACCTGAACCAGAAGTTGGCCGAGCTTGAGGCTGACCAGCAGGAGGCACGAGAGAAGATCCGTTCCCTCCTCAGTCGCCGGGCTCCTGCTGTCCCACCGGTCAAAACCATCACCAAGCCCGCCGTTGAACCAGACCAACTCCGCCAAGTGAGCCGACTAACCCGTGAACTGAATGTCAGCAACAAGCAGCTTCGATCCACAGTTGGCCAGGCGCTGACCGACATGAAGAACCAGCTGGAGCAGCTGAAGGGCACTATGGGCAAGTTGACCCAGGTGGAGCAGGTGGCGGCAGGGGAGGTGGAGGAGCTGCGATCCCTTTACAGGAAGGAGGCGGTGGAGAGGAAGAGCCTGTACAACAAGCTGCTGGAGCTTCAAGGAAACATCAGGGTGTTCTGTCGCTGCAGGAAGACCTCGACCTCCGGCTCCTGTGTGGAGAAAACCGACGACCAGGAGGTGGTGGTTGTCCAGAAGGGAAGCAGGAAGAAGTTCCAGTTTGACAAGGTCTACTCTCAGAGCAGCACACAGGTAATGACTTCCCTTTAGTTATACTATCTGGTCATATCAAGGTGTCTCAGTTAAATAACACAATGTTTACGATTTAAATTTATCCTGCATACTTTTTAATGCCAGAGTAATATTGTTGTAGTAATATTTGCCTTTAGGGAAGGTGGGTAGTTTGCCTTAATGAGCTGCAGAACTTAACAAGCTCTGGGCCTTCTTAGAACAGCAGTTCTCAATCTATTAAAAATGAATTTTTGTTGAAAAAGAAAACAGTGTATATGGTATTTAGACCAGAATACAATCAGGCCAGAGAAAAGTTAGGAAAAGTACCTTAAAATTTAAATCTTAAATTTCCAATATGTTACATCTGGAAGCTTTTTTGGGGGGTGGGGGTTGCCCAGCTGGCTGTCTTGGCTGCATGGTGTGGGTCTGGCATTGGTTGCTTCGTGGTGTTGGCTGATGGGCTGATTTGTAAACAGTGAGCTAGTTACTAGCATGGAGCTAATGGTCCAAATAAAATATAGGAACATTACAGATAGTAACGTTAGTCTACTGTTTGTCATTGTTGTTGGTTGTCCATCTACATTAAACATCTTTTTCCTTCCTTTCTGCAGGAGGAGGTGTTTGCAGGAACTCTGCCAGTGATAACTTCCTGTGTGGATGGATATAACGTCTGTATACTGGCCTATGGACAAACCGGCTCAGGAAAGACATACACCATGATGGGCAGCAAGGAAAACCCCGGAGTCAACATCAGGTCTGTTTTCAGATATGAGACTGAACTGTCTGTGATGTAGTTTAATGATAATCAATGTGATGGTAGAAACATCCTGTTGAAGTGTCCCTGAGCAACACTCTGGAACTCCACCATAATCACAGCTTTAAATTCACCGACATTGTTGTGTGTTGCAGAGGAGGTCCTGCTAATATTGTAATATGCCTTATGGGGGTAATATTCAGATTATAAAGTTATACATTTGAGTGAAATAACTTTTTCACTCCACTTTGCAACCTCATTGTGTGAATGTATGACTTTATAATCTCAGAGAATATCCTAGTTTTTAAAATCTTGATTTTTTTTTTCTTTCCAGTTTTTCCATGATTATTACCCCCCCTCCCCAAGCTCCATAATTTAGTTTTCTGGCCCTTATATGCTGTTGTACAAATGCTGTTCCATCTGTGCTTTCCTGCAGTGACAGGTCAAAACATCTCCTGTGAAAGGTGCAGATTAGAGTTACTTAATCAAGTTAATCTATACCCTTGAGAGGTTTCAGAGTCTGTTTTTACAGAACAAAAAATGCTTTTATCGACCAACCATATTTCAAAAACCCTCTGCAGTTTGTTGTTATCTCCCTGCCTGGAACAATGAACTGCTGTCAGGGGCCAAATGGGACTAATTGCGTCTCATTATGTGAGGTGTCACCTGACAGCGGTTCATCAATACGTGATGAGGTGAAGCAACAGCTCAGCGCTGACAGAAAGAGTCAGTTTACTCGCAGAGGTTGAGTGTCGGAGAGGAGACCAACGAAGCTCTGCTCATTACCGTCTCCCGTTACCTCCTCAAGTCTGCATACAGAGGGGTTACTTACTGCCACTAATGTGTGCGTCTCTTCCTCAGGTCAATACGAGAACTGCTACGCATCTGTGGAGAAAAAGAGAAGGTCTCCTACACTCTGAAGGTGTGACTGTTGCTTCGGTTGTTTTACATACAAATCAAAGACAGGGTGTGAACTACAGGAGAGCCAGATCACACAAGACCTTAATAAGACATGAGCTACCCTGAAAACATGACTCACATCATGAATCATAATTCGTAAAATTACGATTTTACTTGGTGTATGAATCATGCATGAGGGTGATTCAACAATAATTAGTGTAATAATCAATGTGGGAATCGGAAATCTTCTACATGAACTCGTACTCATGCTCATTTTCAGATTTCAATGTTGGAGATTTACAACGACAGTTTGAAAGACCTTTTGACCAAAAGCACCGGCGCTGCTCTGGACATCAGAGTCCAGGGGAAGTCAGTGTCTGTCCCAGGACTGACCCAGATCCAGGTCCAGACCGAGGCCGACATCCTCAACGTCATGGAGACGGGTGAAAAGAACAGAAAGATCGCCTCGACCAAGATGAACACACAGAGGTGCTGCTCGAATGCTGATGATTTAAAGAATAAATTATGTTACGAGTGACACGGCGTAATCTTCTTCCTCCTCAGTTCTCGGTCTCACCTGGTGGTGGCGCTGGAGGTGGAGGGCTCAGACGAGGTGTCTGGACTGACGTCTCGCGGGACGCTGACCTTGTGTGATCTCGCTGGATCTGAGCGGATCTCCAAGACCGAAGCTGAGGGTCAAAGGCTGGTGGAGGCGGCCGCCATCAATAAATCCCTGACAGCACTGGGACAGGTACAGAGACACACCGGGTTAGGTTCTGGTCCTGTTCTTCCACAGATCCAATTAAAGACAGTTTTAGAGGTTCTCGCAAGATCACAAAAATCCCACGTGAATCTTTCCAGGCTTCAATCTGTGTGTTTGTGTGACCAAATTACAGTGGTGCTAAACCAATCAGTGTCCTTCCTTTGAGGAAGTGCTGGCTGTTACGGTTAGCATAGATGTCAGTTATAGCAGGACTGGAGAGAATTACTACATTGAAAGAAGAGTAAAGAACAACATTGAAGGCTTTTCTTCTCCCAACTCACTTCAGTAAGAGTTTGACTACATTGTAAGGTTCATTGATCTGACTGAAGTTCACTGTAACAGACTTATGGTTCATCCAATCACCTGACTGCCCTTTATCAAACAGTTTCCAACGACAGCTTCCCAGATGGTTCTTTGTATTGGTTATCACTGTGAGTGTTCAGTCAGGTCAAAGGTCGCTGTTGTCTCTCTTTCAGGTGTTCAGTGCTCTGAAGTGTAACGCCCTCCACGTCCCGTTCAGGAACTCTAAACTCACCCACCTCCTGCAGCCCTGCCTGAGCGGCGACGCGAAGGTAAACGCTGACGCTCCTCTCTTTTAATGCTAACAGACGAGGTTTCTTTAAGAATATAGGTAGCGTTGTCTTATTTCATATTATTGTATTAATGAAATAATAAATGTAACTCTGGGAGCGTTCACTCATGATTCCAGCAGTTACCCACATCGACGGCCCTGTAGTCTCTTCATATAAACTGAAATTTAATATTAGTTTCTTTTTTAAATCACACGTAAACGAAACAGAATTGATTGGATTAGTATTAATTGTGCATTTTAGCACTAGTCTGACACCTCTACAATCAGTGTGAGACCAGTTTTCCATAGAAACACCTGCAAATGGATTAAAATGACAAAAACTCTGGAAATATTTTATGTTATCCTGAACTGTATTTTAATTGTTTAAAGCTCGACTGCGATTTCTTAAAGAGTTAGATCATCGTTCATTCTGTGTCACGTATGTGTGAGCTGTGCTTTGCCACTAACAGCTGTGGCCTTTCTCTGCAGTGCTGTGTGTTTGTGAATGTGAGTCCAGACGTTAACGACACGGTGGAAACGCTGAGCACGCTGCAGTTCGGTTCCTCCATACGGCAGGTTGCACTCGGAAAAGCAACGAAGAACATCGTACCGGCTAAAAACAACAAGACCGTCAAGTAGAAAGAGACGATGAACTGAAGCTGGACAACATTTATTTAACAGAAACAGCTGGAAGATGTCTTCATCTGCACTGCAGCTGTCAGTTCAGCACTGGTTATAGTTTATGAATGAACAAAAGAAAAAAAAATCTAAACTAAAACTCTATTTAACAGCGCCACCAGTGGCCGTTAAGTGAACTGCAGTCAGTGTCCTGTTGGTCCTCCATTTATAAGCTTTTTAAGTGACATTACAACCTGTTCCCTCATTGGCAATAAAAATGATTAATACATAAAAATTAAATTACACATGGTGCCTATAAACCTAATAAACTTAATATTCAAGAAAACATGTTTGTATTTATCTTTATTGCTTGAATGGAAATAAGTAGCAAGTAAAGGTTGAACTGGAACATCTGAGCCGCTGCTGCACTTCTGAAAAGGCTTCTGGCGGCTTTTAAAGTGCGAGTTCAGGGTGCGTAATGACTGGTATTAGTTCTTTGCAGGACATAAGTTAAGTGGTGAAACATTTGGGAGGAAAACGCAGTGCTGTCCATTTATCTTCCAACTGACGGACGGAGCATAAACAGTCCTGTTGCCCCAACTGTCCGTGGTCCTAGCTGCAGGAGCCTCTGTTCTTCAGCAGCTGGTTGAGGACGCTGCTCTGTTTTAGCGCTCTGAGGTTGGAGATGTCCTCGGCGATGACCGGGACGTCCTCGCCGTGATTCGTCTCGTCGCTTTCCTCCTCGTCGCTGTCAGACAGAGTACAGAGGAGGGCGTCGTTCTCGTATGTGGGGAAGTAATACCTGAGGAGAGATTGAGGTCAGAGGTTAAAGATTTGGATCCTGGGGCGGGGTCAGTTACATTAGCTGTGTCGGCTGAGCTAACGGCAGATACAGTTAGCAGCAGTTAATTAGTAGTTGGCCACTTTAGGGAGTAGTTAAAGCTATCTGTCCATCAGGAAACTCTTTAAATGAATCTATTTGTTTCTTTGCAGTAACTTTCTGTCATTTACTCAGATAACTGTGTTTGTGGGAACACAGCATACGAGGAAGGAGTGAGACTATCGACACAAACTGAGTCCATTAGGCACGAAGGGTTCAAACAGTCCATTTACAACCAAGAACTTTAAAGCTACGTTGCAGAATTGTAGATTTTGGCGCCCTCTCGTGGGAGCTGAACTCACTGCGGCTGGTTCCAGGTCGACACATCCGGCAGCTTCATCATGTGACCTTCAGCCGCGATGTGACGGAGGACGGCGTCTCTGGAGTCAAACTTCTCCTGGCAGCCGTAGCAGCGACTCTGGTGGATCTGCCGCCGGATGAAGTTCACCAGTTTGACCTGCTGGTAGAACCTGAGATCTGGGAGGGGGGGGCGCAGCAGTTTAATGTACGCATTATCACTTCATTATTCAATCTGCTCTTAGTGCACTTACTGAGTTCTGTCCTCAGCTTATGGAGATCGAAACCATGAGCTTCCTAAAATAAAAAGGAAAAATTAAAGTCTGTAAAAGCTGTAAAGTTCATTACATCAGAAAATAACTGTTGAATGGATTAAATAAAAATAACACTCATCTATTGAAATGTTTTACACATGAAACAATATGAAACATAGATTTAATTGCTGGCGGCCATCTAATAATCAGGAAGAAAACAGGAGCTGATGGTTTGAGGTCAGAGGTCAATTAATTGGTAATGCTTTTTAAGCCATGAAGAGAAATAAAATGCATATTTCTGTTTCACTGTGAGTGTAGTTACTGCATTCAGCCTCTGGAGGGCAGCATACGTCCTGTCTTTGTGCCTGAAAGCTTAAAATACATTTTAATCCAAAGAAGAAGATCACTGTACCTTCATGTGTGTGTAGATCTGCTCCATCGTCTCCGACTGATGCTCACAGAACAGACACACGGCGGAGACCGGATGAGCCTGCCAGTCCGACCAATCGCTGTGGACAGTGCAGAAAGGTCAGAGTATGAGATCAGAAAGCTGCGTCGCTTCCTCAGAGGAGATAAAAGAACCTGAAGCAGTCACAGTGAGTCAGTAAAAACCCGGATGTATCCTGCTGGAGATACTTACTCATCTTCATCGTCTGCCAGCTCGCGGTCATCCTCACTCTGCACTTCCTCCCAGGTCTTCCCCAGCTCCTGCCAGGACAGAGAGACACTTTAAGATCAGAGTGAAGAGAAAACATCCTCCGGTACTCCGACCAAAGTCTACAGGAATCAGGCACCGCTGTCGACTGCACAGCTCCAGCAGTCGACAGATGTTTTAATATAAAATGTAGCTGAGTTTAATCTTTCATCTTTAGAGTAGGGACGCGCCGATACCACTTCTTCTAGAGCAAATACAGGTTCAGGTTCAGGTACAGGTTCAGGTTCAGGTACAGGTTCAGGTTCACAGGTACAGGTTCAGGTTCAGGTACAGGTTCAGGTACAGGTTCAGGTACAGGTACAGGTTCAGGTTCAGGTACAGGTTCAGGTACAGGTTCAGGTACAGGTACAGGTTCAGGTACAGGTACAGGTTCAGGTACAGGTTCAGGTTTAGGTACAGGTTCAGGTACAGGTTCAGGTTCAGGTACAGGTACAGGTTCAGGTTCAGGTACAGGTACAGGTTCAGGTACAGGTACAGGTACAGGTACTTATAAGCTTTAATTTGTTTAAAATCTCCCTCTCCTGACGTACTGCAGCTTTAACTGTCGACCTGCTGGGAAACTATGATTCATGGCACACGTTTTAAATAACAGAGCACGTTGGCGTTTTACCAGGTAGTTGATGACGTAGAAGCGGTCGTATTCGTGGTTGCTGGCGTTGATGCGGCGGTGAGCTTTCTTCCTCATGTGATCCTTCAGCGTGGTTTTATCCCGGAAGGTTTTCTCACAGTACAAACACTGCAGGCTGACAAAGGGACATAAAAACAACTTGGATTTGAAGGTTAAAGTGATTCTCATTTCCATCTTTGGTGAGAAAGCACAGAGCTTGTGTGAGTTCAGCTCAGTTAGATATTCATTCAACTTCCAAAATACTGACAACAACATTATTAAAGATTCTGAAGCATTGTACATATGAATCCCTTCCTCTGCTGCCTGTGGACTGATCTCTATGTGTCTCTATGTAGGATGAGGGTCAAAGGTTGTGACCTTTATGCTCCCGAGTGCCAACAGTGGGCAACACTAGCTAACGTTCTATAGCTCAGTGTTTGCTGCTGTTGTCTTACTTGTCCAGTTTTCTCTGCAGAGTGTCCAGAAATTGGTTGCAGTAGACGATGTTGTCCGGCAGTCCGATGCTGAAGGAGTGTTCTCGGGCCATGTGGTTCAACAGAGACGACCTGAAAACATTGTGGTGGAATAAAATCAAACGACGTATGTGTGAGTTGTTTTCAGGTCTTCAGTGGGAACCAGTGGAGTCGGAGCTGAGAGCCACAGACTCTGTTTTTAGTTGCTGAGCAAAGAACAAATATATTAAAATGTTTAAAATCAAAGTATAAATCTGATCTTCATCATTTTACACATATTGTGGGGAGAAACATGTGAATCTGTTTCTGGCTCCATTATTTGGAGGATAAAATGAGTAAATCAAGAGAAACACCAACTTTATGATTGTTGGAACAATAAAAGAAGTTTAATAAAAGAGTATTTTTCAAATAAATAACGTTCTTGTGACAAGATATATCGTATGTGCTGTTTCTAACCTGATAAGCTTTATTGATTACGTAATGATCAGTGGATCGATTGTCTCTCATTCAGATGTGTCGGTACCTGTTTCCTGCGAACTCCTCACTGCAGAACATACAGAGACGATGGAAGCTGCCGTCGTCTCTCTCCACCTGCTGCTGCTCCAGCACCTCCTCCTGTGGGAGAGATCAGTGTTTATCACCAACGAACGGCCGTGGAACATATTGTCTGACTGTTAGCTGGATACTGTTAGTGGCTTTAACTGAGGAGACTCTTTGTTTCTACTGCGGCACTGAGACCAGTTAGATGTTGTGTTTGGTGTCCGATCCTCACCAGTCGTTTCTGTTGGAGCCTCTCTCGGAGGATTCGGTCCTCCGGAAGGACGTCACACAGCAGGAAGTAGTCCTCCTGTTTCTCTGTACGAACAACAACATGAGTAGATTCTGCAGTCAAATAATAAAGTTCAGTAAAGTTAACTGTGACTCCTCCTAACAAACATGGAGTCTTATAATTAACCTTCAGTGAAGAGCTGCAACAAGAAAGCTCATCATCAGGTTGTTGTTGTCTTTTTATATGGACCGCAGTCACCATGACGACACCGTACTCACCGACTGGCCCGGTGGAGTTCGTCTTGATCACGCTGCAGAAATCTGTAACCGGTTGCTCCAAGAATCTGCCCTTCCAGTACAACATGTACCTGACCGGTGGGGGGATTATATAGTGATTATATACACTGACACACATACTCATACACAATAACTGTAATTATACATTTTAGGCACATTAAGGTCCTTTTCCAGACACTTTCCTTCAGTAAAGAGTTTAGTTTTGGACCAGTGAGCGCTCCGTACTTTGACAGGTCTGCGATCAGTTTGACGTCTGCGATGACGAGCTTGTGCTCCAGCAGCAGGTGTTTGAGGAGGACGTCTTTCTGCTGCAGGGAGACGGACTCGGGGCAGAACAGACACACCAGCAGCTCGGTGCCGGGACCCTGCAGACTGGGACCCTGCACACTGGGAGCACCGGCGCCATCAGCTGGCTGCTCTGGGAAACACAGCGGCTCCAGTATGCTGTCCTGATTGTCCTGAGCTGAGCGGGAGACACAGTGAGTTACTTATCTGTAATAACCTATATACACAGATATATACATATATACAGATATACGTATATCTGTATATATATATATCTGTGTATATATATATATATATATATACACAGATATATACAGTATATCTGTATATATATACATATAATGTAAACATCCCACACCCAGGTTAACAAAGGCGAAGGGGACGGCCCTTTTCAGGTCCAATTTTCCAGGACATTATAGTTTATTTCCAGAATATTTGGACATTTTAATAAATTTCCAGGTGTTTTAACTTCAGTTTCTCAGAATATAAAAATATAAAGTTGGACTGACAAACGTTTGTTTGGGTTTTAAACGTCACAGCTTTTATTTAAAACTAAATAAAGTGAATTAATTTGAACCTTTTTAAAGTGAACAGCTGACTGAGGTTCAACTGCCGTCCACAGTTTTTATAGGGAGCGAAGAAGAAGGCTGCTAGTTAGCCAGTTAGCATAGGCGGCTAGCTGCTAGCTGTTTAGCTTCATTACAAACAGAGTTTCCGGTTCTGTCTCGGTTGTTTTCTGTCTCACAGACTCTCAGTTCCATACAGACGGGAACAACCCGCAGACAGCGCCATTAAACCCGCACACAGCGCCATTAAACCCGCACACAGCGCCGTTAAACCCGCAGACGCGTTGAACACCGTCACATACCGTCATCGCTCGCGCTGCAGGCGGACATCTTGTTCGTCACGTGGTGAAAACAGCGGCTAACGGACCAATCAGAGCATGTTTCCGTGCTGCCTTCAAGGTCAGCGGGACAAAACGCAGACACCGCACGATGCGTTTAAGTGTTTGGAAACGTTGTTAAAAACAAACCCTGTTTACTGTATTTAGAAAATATAATAAATACACAAACGCATCTGTGACTCGTAAGATCTTTCAGTCTGAAGTAATGTGATAACCTTTACGCTGGAAAATAATCTGTTTTTCTTAAACTTTTTAAATAAAAAATAAAAAGAATAAAATAACCAGTGAATTTAAATATCTGTCATAATCATAAAATTACTGCTTATTTTCACATAAAAGATTAAAACACATGTGCAAATCTATAATTTATTTATTATTTTATTTATTTAGTCGATTAAACTGTTAAGTTCAGTTTAATACTGTTAATACATTTTACAATGAACAGTAAAAAAATATTTGTTCTGTAATTTTACATGGAGTTGTTAATTAATTGATGTATAATTATTATAATTACTATTAACTCATTAAGTTTTCACAACAAAAATGTTTTGTTAGTGTATAATCATTGGTAAACTGTCAAAATACAGTTTTTATAAGTGTAAACAATAATTACTGTAATTAATTAACATTAAAAAGATTGTATGTAAAATTACAGCTGAAAACTGTATTTTAATGATAGAAATTACTGTTATTTAATATTTTTCAGGCTTTTTTTTGGCCGCTGTTTTTATGTGTTGTTTCAGTTTGTATGAAAGGTGCTTTATAAATAAAGTTGAGTTTGTTGAAGCCAAAGCTGGAAGGAAAACCGGAGCCTGAATCCACAGCGAACAATAAAACCAAATGTCTCTTTAGAGAACAGTTACAGAAACAGAAGCAAGAACTGTGCTCAGATCAGATTTATTATAGTTTTGTATTTTTCATTACTTTTTATATTATTTTGTTTTAATTTTATATTTCCAGAGTGGATTTGCTCATTTCAGTTTCGATTTTAATGTTTTAAATTTGATTTGATTAGTTTCAGTGTTTTTCTTTATAATGTGGGAGGTATTTGTCAGACAACATTTAAGAAGTTCAGAATAGATATTACAGTACAAACACACTGACTTACAGTCTCAGTCACACAGTATCGGTTCAACTCCTCTTCCAACATTTAATAAACTGACTCAGTGACATATTTTATGGATATTTCATATTAGATTAAAACTGTACAAACTTTTATACAGACTTAATAAGCTCATTTTTTGACGGATTCAGTGTTTTCTTCTCCCTGATGCTTTGCTACGTTAAGAGATAATTTACTTTACCTTCAGATTTCTTCACAGAAGTGAACCAGAAATATTAAGAAGCCCTGGTGAAGCTTCGGCGACCCCCCCACTAGATTAAAGGGGTTTTATTTGTGGACTAACTTTAAGGTTTCTCTGACTGAACCCTGTATGTGGCACAGAAAACAACCACCAGGTGGCACAAACAGCTCAGTCTTCATCCTCCTGCAGTCTGCTTTTCCTCACTTGTTGATATAGCTCATTAAAATGTCGGTTTCTCCACAATAAAACATAAAAATAATGAAATAATCAGTGTTCCTTCTTGTTCCTGCAGTGTGCTGTTTGAATGATGGATGAGCAGAGTTTGACACTAGAAGGATGTTTTT